ATTAGGTGAGTATTTGCAGAAGGAGCTGATATTTCCATTATTTCCTATGGGAACATTTCTAATCTGTAAGTTCTCCATTCTCCCCCCCCCCCCCGCTTTCTGCCCCAAACTGCTGTAGCCAATCAGCAAAAGCAAACAAACAGAAAAACTAATTTGTCTGGCCTCTCCTGCTCCCTGATTTGTCCAGTCACTCTCCCTCATGCCATGCTTTCTGCTCAAAATAGCTGCCACCACCAGCAAAACACAAACAAGTAAGGAAGTGGGAAAATTCCAGCTGTTCGGCTATCTAAATCAGCCATTCACATAGGAAGATTTGGGTATAATTCTTTGCATTCGGACAACTGAGATTTCAGATAATAAGCATTCCAATAGTGGGACCAGTGTGTATCTGTAACTATAGTTGATCACAAGATGCAGCTTGTATAATATTTTGTGGACTATTTTCACTCACACCCACTAGATGGCATAAAAGGCACCCATTTTTCTAACTTTTCTTTCAGCAGCATTACATTATGGGTTATTTTCTCAGCTATAGCTGACTTCTTCTTTCTTCTTCTTCTTCTTCTTCTTCTTCCACACAGAACCTAGGACTTGCTGATCAAAAGGTCAGTGGTTCGAATCCCTGCGACGGGGTGAGCTACCGTTGCTCGGTCCCTGCTCCTGCCCACCTAGCAGTTCGAAAGCACATCAAATACAAGTAGATAAATAGGTACCACTCCGGCGGGGAGGTAAACGGCGTTTCCATGTGCTGCTCTGGTTTGCCAGAAGTGGCTTACTCCTACTGGCCACATGACCTGGAAGCTGCACGCCGGCTCCCTTGGCCAATAAAGCGAGATGAGTGCCACAACCCCAGAGTCTGCCATGACTGGACCTAATGGTCAAGGGTCCCTTTACCTTTACCTAAACCCACAGGTCTCAGGGAGGTTCACAACATAAAACCAAAATATAAAAACACAAAATGCATAACAAAAACAAGAACCCAGGGATCACATCCATACAGCCTTTTTGCCCAGAGTCATTTGCAGAAAGTTTGTGGGCATATAGGCACTGTGGCCTAAACCACTGAGCCTAGGGCTTGCCGATCAGAAGGTCGGCGGTTCGAATTCCCGCTATGGGGTGAGCTCCCGTTGCTCGGTCCCTGCTCCTGCCAACCTAGCAGTTCGAAAGCACGTCAAAGTGCAAGTAGATAAATAGGTACCGCTCTGGCGGGAAGGTAAACGGCCAACATACCACACTGTGATACAATATGAAAAGACCCTTTCTATTGTGGACCGGTAGAAGGAGCTCATCAATTGTTGTTTAACATTATTCTTTCGCAAGACCCTGAGGAAATGGAGTCTCTGTTGGCCCTTTCTGACCACCTGAGTTATGTTGATTTTCCAAGTGAGGTCCTCACTAAGGTAAACTCCCAGGAATTTAAAGGAGGAGACTCTCTCCACACAGCCCCCCTCCCCCATATACAATGGCGCAGGTTCCCCTCTCTTCCTCTGGAAGTCCAACACTATCTCCTTTGTCTTACAGTGGTGCCCCACAAGACGAATGCTTTGCAAGACGAAAAACCCGCTAGATGAAAGGGTTTTCCGTTTTTGAGTTGCTTCGCAAGACGATTTTCCCTATGGGCTTGCTTCGCAAGACGAAAACGTCTTGCGAGTCTAGCGATTTTTTTTTCCGCTCCCCCCCTTTTTCTAAGCCGCTAAGCCGCTAAGCCTTTAATAGCCGCTAAGCTGCTAAACCGCTAATAGCGCTAAGCCGCTAAGTCGCTAATAGGGTTGCTTCGCAAGACAAAAAAAACGCTAGACGAAGAGACTCGCCGAACGGATTATTTTCGTCTTGCGAGGCACCACTGTACTAATATTTAGGTGCAAGTTATTCCCTAAGCACCATATAGATACTTTTTGAACCGCCCCCCTGTACGCTGTTTCATCTCCGCCTGTAATTAGGCCCATTATGGTAGTATCATCTGCAAACTTAATAATTACTGTGGATGGATCAGATGATATGCAGTCATATGTGTACAAAGCCACTTCCGACATCAGGAGGAGGTGTTGGTGTGGGCTTCATGCCAACACGCGCGAGGAGGCTGGCTTCCAGCCCCCGAGCAATCAGGGGAATCCTCGGGCCGTGTCATCCCCTGAGCCAGCCAATCGGCTGGCTCGGGGTGTGTGGCTTGCCTCATTTAAGGCAGGCATGGCCCCAGGATCTCCCTCTTTTGCCTGCGCAGCTGCTGTTGTTTCCCACCCACCCGCCCTTTAAGGTTTCTCTTTTGACCTTGCTATGGACTTGCTATGGTTGGTCGCCATTAAGGGGCCTGGTAGGAATTTTTTCCACTTTGCAAATTGGCACTGGCCATTTGGTTTTTCGCAAATCGTCACAACTTCCCTGGTTTAGGCATTGGTAGGGGTATTGGTGACAGCAGTCATGAAATTAAAAGACGCCTGCTTCTTGGGAGAAAAGCAATGACAAACCTAGACAGCATCTTAAAAAGGAGAGACATCACCTTGCCAGCAAAGGTCCGTATAGTAAAAGCTATGGTTTTCCCAGTAGTGATGTATGGAAGTGAGAGCTGGACCATAAAGAAGGCTGATCACCGAAGAATTGATGCTTTTGAATTATGGTGCTGGAGAAGACTCTTGAGAGTCCCATGGACTGCAAGAAGATCAAACCTATCCATTCTGAAGGAAATCAGCCCTGAGTGCTCACTGGAAGGACAGATCGTGAAGCTGAGGCTCCAAGACTTTGGCCACCTCAGGAGAAGAGAAGACTCCCTGGAAAAGACCCTGATGTTGGGAAAGATGGGGCACAAGGAGAAGGGGACGACAGAGGACGAGATGGTTGGATAGTGTTCTCGAAGCTACCAGCATGAGTTTGACCCAACTGCGGGAGGCAGTGGAAGACAGGAGTGCCTGGCGTGCTCTGGTCCATGGGGTCACGAAGAGTCGGACACGACTAAACGACTAAACAACAACAACAAGGGGTATTGTTATGTAGATGGGGGGGGAGTGCCATCACCTCCTCCAAATATTGAAGGGTAGTTCGGTAAAGGATTCCTAGGGGCATGGCCTCGTCCGAAGCCTATGGAAGCCAGGGCCTAAAGCGCACCCCCGAGCGGTGACCGCGGGGGAGTACCTAGTTGATGTGCATCAGCAGGACTCCCCCTGCTGGTGTTAACCCTTCCCAGTCTTCAAGCAAACAGGCTGAAGTCGGATAGGACCAATGCCTAAGCCAATACCGCTCTTACCTGTAACCAATAAAGTTGTGGCCAATTTTAGCCCATTAACCTTAATCAATGGTGTCACGTGTCGTTAATTCTACTGGGGGAGGCGGAAACTCGCCACGCAATGCTTAAATGGCTCAAGACTGCAATACCTGAAAGACCACCAGTCCCCATATAGACTGAGCCCATATCATCCAAGGCCCATCCTTGTTTGCCTCCTCCATGGAAGCTCCAGATGCCCGTTGCAGGAAAGTTGCAATCAGAAACTGAACATAAGAGGAACTCTTTCCATTTTTGGCTTCCATAAACTGGTATTAAGAAGGGTCTTGCCTCCCAACTTGAAGGGAGAGGAAGAAAAACCTCTTTCTGACCACTGTTTTTATCAATAATAATATTTTATTAGGAAAAAAATCACTTATAAAGAAAGAAAGTGACAAAAGGAACAGTGCAAAAAAAAAAATACAGTGCAATACAATTTGTATAATCACTTACATTTCCATAAATCTTTATTTTGATATCAGTGCTATTATTATCTTAATGCATATACGGTTATGAATGACCTACTACATTCTGCATAAACTCATTCCAAATGTCCAAAAAAAAAAGTCTACATCTATAAGCAACCTCTTTCAGAAGTTGCGAGTGCTGTCATGTTGTCAAGCCTTTGATTAAAGGGATCATATCTTAATTTTTCCAGTTCTTCGGTATCAGTCTCTTAGCCACTGTTAGGGCAGAATTCATTTTCATTGTGCCGTTGTCCATTTCCATACAGTAGGTATAAAATTGAAAAGAATATTCTCCTCTGAAAATGTTAACTTTTTCCATACAGTCCTCTTTATATAGTCCAGCAATTTCTCCCAACACTTAGCAAGTATAGAACACTATAAAATATATATATATTTCAAGGAGGCATTGTCCTTATTACATCTCCAGCAAAAAAGCTACTTTAGCTAGTCCTTTTTTATAAAAACATAAAGGAGTCCAATAAATTCTGAATATTATTTTCTGTTGTATAAATCTCAATTTTAAGATCCATCAATACCGTTGGTACTGAGGCTAAAACATTTCCCCACTGTCTGGGTGGTATTGAAAGCTCCAGTTCTTTATTCCAACCATTTCTGCATATGAAACTTACTTATTGATAATAAACATCCATAGAAAGTGATCATGTCTTTTTAGTTTACAACAAATTATCCAATTGCTCCAATATCTCAGGTGTCTCAGAAGCTGAAAAAGTTGCTGTTCCAAACTAACTTGTGAGGAGATGTTGTGCCTGGAGATTTGGGGCCAGATCTGTTCTCTTAGAACAACGAATGTATGGAACTAATCTTCCTCATCTATTGATTGGTCCAAAGTCAATACACCTGCTTCCATCCAATTTCCCCAATTTTTAAAGTAGGATTTCCCTACAAAGTAACTTTGGCATGTGAGAATGGGACAAATTTGCTTTTCTTAGACAAGATATTCCATATCCTTCTAACTCACTTGATTGTTTCAAGGGTCACAAGAAATTTCAAATACTTTGATCCTAATATTGTCCAACCAACCAAAGGAGATTAGATAGATAGATGATAGAGAGAAAGAGAGGGAGGGAGGGAGGGAGGGAGAGAGAGAGAGAGGGGGGGAGAGGGAGAGAGAGAGAGAGAGAGATGATTGATAGATGATAGATAGATAGATGATAGATAGATAGATAGATAGATAGATAGATAGATAGATAGATGATAGATAGATAGATAGATAGATAGATAGATAGATAGATAGATAGATGGTAGATAGATTAGATAGATTGATGATGATAGATGATAGATAGATGATAGATGATAGATGATAGATAGATAGATAGATAGATAGATAGAGTCTGTCCCAGGAATGGAGATTGCAAGGTTCCAGAGGAGCAATTTCCCCTACATTATGGCAGACCTCTTCTGCCTCCCCAAACCCTTCAGCACAGACCGAGCTGCAGGGTTAACAATTCTTCCTTCACAGTGAATGTTTCAGCACAGGAAAGTGACAAGGGGGAAAGAAAAAACACAGGATGGGAAAAAAGAGCAGAAAGGGAATCTGATGGATGGAATGGGGGGTGAGGAGAGGGACTCTGATGGATGGAATGTTGCCTGAGGGAAGGAACGGGGGCTGTGAGTCAAGGACCTTCCAAAAGAAATACGGGGGGAGGGATTCTACCAATGGAAACACAGATCATGGAGCTTCAAAAGCAAGATTCTGGAGGCCGGAGGGTCAATCTGTTCTGGCCCTTCATGAGTTCAAGAACTCTCCAAATTTGGCATTTGAGGCAACCAAAGGTGGGTGACAATGGGACTCCGCTTCTCCAAGACACCTGTCCTCCTTCAGAGGGGAATGGCACACATTTCATAAAAACGTGGAATGGTGGCAAAGCCAACCAGCATGGGAGAGATGTTGATCTTTTCAGGAGGGACGGGAGATTTTAAGCGGAAGTTCTGCAGGATGCTGGTGAAGAAGAGGAAGAGCTCCATCCGGCCCAGATTCTCCCCCAAGCAATAGCGCTTCCCTAGGAAAGAGGAGGAAGGTGAATACAGGCTTTCAGGGTGCTGTTATAGATGGTTTAGGAGCGCTTGGAAAAAGAAGGGGACTGACTCACCAACAGAGAAAGGCATAAAAGCCTCATTCTTCTTGAACTGCCCATTCTCATCCAGGAAATGTTGGGGGTCAAAAACATCTGGTCTTGCAAAGTGTTGGCCGTCTCTCAGCACAGACCCAAGCATGGGAAACACTTCAGTCCCCTGAACAAAAAAGGGAGAGAAATAAGAAGATATGAGAGAAATGGGAGATTTCAACACCAGGCCAATTGGTGCAGTGGTCAGTTCTGAAGCACAGGAGCTTATCATAGCCATGCCCACCCCCAGAAAGTCCACAAATACAAGCAAGTGTGGCAATCCATCACTTTAGATAAAAGGTAAAGGGACCCCTGACCATTAGGTCCAGTCGTGACCGACTCTGGGGTTGCAGCGCTCATCTCGCTTTATTGGCCGAGGGAGCCGGCATACAGCTTCCGGGTCATGTGGCCAGCATGACTAAGCTGCTTCTGGCGAACCAGAGCAGTGCACGGAAGGCTCAGAGGTACAGGGAAGTGTGCCGGACGCCACTCTAACTCAAGATGTATATACCGTATTTTTTGCTCCATAGGACACACTTTTTCCCTCTTAAAAACTAAGGGGGGAAGTCTGTGCATCCTATGGAGCGAATGCAGGGGGGAGGCAGGCAGGAAAAGCCCCCAAGAGCCGCACACCGGCTTCGTGCGGCTCTTGCGGGCTTCTCCCTCCTCGTAGAAAAGCCCACAGGAGCCTCGTGCGCCTTAGAGGCTGCGCGGCTCCTGTGGGTTTTTGTGGGAGGTGGGGGAATTGCCACCCGCTCACTGTCTTGGCTTCTTTGCTCTTTGGGGCTGGGGGGGGGATATTTTCCCCACCTTGATTTCCCCCTCTAAAAACTAGATGCGTCTTGTGGTCCGGTGTGTCCTATAGAGTGAAAAATACGGTAGTTCTGTTTTTTATTTTTCATGTAGACCAGTAGTGTAATGCAACTTGTGAATAATAAAGACATCAGGAGAATAACTGGATGGCTGAGGTGTCTATTCCTGTAATGGGAATTGAACCAGAAAGGGCTGGACTCCTGATGTTGCGAAGACACAGGCAGATTTATGAGGAACTGTGCTGAGACCAAGAAAAGGATCCCCAAGAGTCGGTGCTCACACACTAACAAGACAGAGTGCTTGGGGAATTTCGCTGAGCCACAAACTGTATCTGGAACTTGTACCGAAGGGTCTGAGCCTCAGGAACTAATAGAACCACCGTACCTTGGGAAGGTTGTATCCCCGGAACTGGGTATCGCGGGTCACACGTCTTGCTACCCCCAAGGGGAGCATGTCACCAAATCTCTGGATCTCGTGGATCACAGCATCCGTGTAGGGCATCAGGGGACGGTCATCCATGTTGGGAGTGCGATTCGAGCCAATCACCCGTTCAATCTCTTCGTGGACCTTCTCTGTTGAGAAATCAGCTGGATGAGAGCAAAAGTGCTATTTGCACCTTCCGGGGAGCTAAAGAAGGATCCCAGCTCATAGCTGGGGAAACAAAGAGGGACCCTCCCATAGAAAGGCAAGGACACATCTCTCCACCCTATTTTCCTCCCCCTTCCGCAGTCACCTTCAACCTCCGGGTATCTCAGCAGAAGCAGGAAGCCATAGCGCAAAGTGGTGCTGACCGTTTCTGTGCCAGCGAAGAAGATGTTGAGGGTTGTCATAACCAGATTCCTTGCAAAGAACTCTGTGTTTGGGTTTTTCTTATCCTAAGTCAGAAGAAAAATGGTCATGGAGGATGCTTCATAGATTATATGTGGGTAGAGGCTAAAATCTGCTCTTCATATGTCTTCAAAGCTTGTTCTTTCCTGCTGATTGGCTAACCTGCAGTGATGTCACGATTAAACCAATGAGGATGAAGGGACAGTTGAGTAGTGTTGAAAAGGTGGCTTCCTTCCAGGGATCCTAGTTTCCTTTCAGACAAATACTTACATCACAATACTTAGAAGGAAATCACCATACCTGCTGCATTTTCACCAGGAAGCAGTCAATGAAATCCCGAGGGGCGTTGGGGTCCAGGGTCTCCTCGTGGTCTTTTACCTTCTCCATGATGAACTTCTCCAACCCTAAGAGCTGCTTGAAGGCTTTATGTTGTGGGCCAGGCAGGTACTGCATGACGCCCGAGAACATGTCATAGAGCTGTTTGTGTTGGTTTCAGAGAGTGAGGGAGAGAAAACAGATATTGCACAAAGTGAAGCTGAGGTGAAGGTCTGTGGAAGTTGGAAACATATCATGGAAGTTTGGAAGAGACTAGAAAAAAGACAGACTCAGAAAGTCTCTCTCTAAGAAGAACTGAACGGGCAGGTGGAATTCCTGACTCCAGATAAAACTTGGCATCAACTGCTGACTAAGCTATCAGCTGTAACAGACATGACGTCTCCTCTTTGGGGATAAGGATGGAGACTTGGAGGAGGACTCAGAGGGTGAGAAGGAATTTCTTACAGTGCTAGCAGCCTCAACAGCTCAATCTGGGATCATGTGAGGCCGAAGCAACATTCTAAACTTGCTCCAGTCAGACCTGGCCAAGCAGCAAGGCAGATCAGGAGTTGCAGCACCACGGAGAGCTCCAAGTGAGCAACTTGCCCCAACAACGGTCAATAGTTTTTTCTCAGCTACTCCCAAGCACTGTTGCTTGTAGAGATCTTAGATTCTTTCCGGACCAGGGGAAAGGGGCAACTCTCCTTGTTTCCATGGCCTCATCCCATGTGCTCTCCCTCTCCCCTCCCCTCCAATTTACCTGCCCCCAAGAGGTAGCAGTGAACCGGAAGCTACCCAGCATCATACTCAGCAGGGAGACGAACTCCTGATCTTCGTATTCAAAGCGATCGCCAAAGGCAATGGAGCTGATGACGTTGGACACCGTGCGGCTCAGCATGTAGGTGGGGTCAAAGGGTGCGCCTGGAAAGAAAGACACACAAAGGGAGCACCTAGAGAGCAAGTCACTCAACCCAGGAACAAATCAAGAGTACACTTTGCACGGGACAAGGATAACTGTGACTTTAAAGATGAATGGCAACCTTTTACAAAGTATTTAAAGAAGCAACAAAGTGAACTGGACTCCTTGGCGGGCTCTGAATAAACACTCACAAACTTTTTATTGATAATAACCAGTCAGATAAATTAAGGATTTATGCAATTTTGTAACATGCAGAGAATAGCATTTATAGAGAAAGCAGAGACTGGAACTGAGGGAAGTCGGGGGGAGGGGAGGGGGTTGTTTTATGGGGGGAGGGGGAAACTGGGGGGGGAATTAAGGATGATATGTTTTAAGATAATATGTTTTGTTTAAATTCCTAATAAAAAATATTTTTAAAAAGAGTACACTTTGCAAAACAGTATAGTCTTACCTCATTATTCCTTTGAGAAACATTACTTTGATAGGATGTAGAGTGTTGGTGATGTATTTAGCTCCGGCTAAGTTACGTCTGTTTCCACCCATTACCAAAAGTAAATATAATATTCAGTATAAAGCCTTCAATTGCCCACTTAAATGCCCACTGTTTCTAACTATCACCTGTAACTCATTAAGCAGCATTTCTTGAAGATATCAAAACTGAGCTCATTGATTGATTGATTCAGTGTTTCCCAACCGGTGTTCCGCGGCACACTAGTGTGCCGCGAGACGTTGCCTGGTGTGCCGCGAGATGTTGCCTGGAGGGAGGCGGGCGAGTCGGGCGGCGAGAGGCGGGGCGGCGGCGGCGAGGAGAGGCCGCCCAGCGCGGGGCTCTCGCCGTCTGCCTGCCTGGCTGCCTGCGTGGCGCTGACGTCACGGGGCTGTAACATGCCCCACATAGGCACACGCGGGGCGGCGAGCGAGCGAGCTCCCACATCCCATCGCCGCTCGCTTCGGCCGGCCTACTGGGCTGTCGCAGGCGGAAGGCCTGCGCATGCGCGAGGTTTTCGCGCCTTCGGGATTCCCTTCACGCCTTCCTCCTCCCGGGTCCTTGAGAGCGCGGGAAGCGGCAGCACGAGACCGGCGTTGAGCCTGGTAGGTATTGCGCTTGCCAAGGCAGTCATTTGGGAAATGAAAACTTGCAAAGCAAGCAACCAGTTCAATCTGAAGTACGTGTATGCTTAATATCCTGTATCTGAAACCTGTTCTGCCCCCTCCCCCACACTTGGTGCCATTTTCATCTACACATGCAGCAGAGTAAGTTGACCCAGAATAGTACCAATTCAGATGGCAGATGGGAGAATGACAGTGCTGAATGCTTTCCCATGTAGAACAGTCCCTGCAAATAAAAACCTAGCATATTTGGAAGAGGGATGCTAGCCTAACCATTACCTTCTATGCTGTTACTATTTTTAATTTTTTTTTACATAAGTAAAAAGTGACCTTTCCCCATCTGGCATGGTGGTGTGCCTCGAGATTTTTTTCATGAAACAAGTGTGCCTTTGCCCAAAAAAGGTTGGGAAACACTGGATTGATTGATTGATTGATTGATTGATTGATTGATTATTTTGGGGTGAACCTGGCATCTGCAGCTCTGGCTAGGAAACGGAAATATGGCATTGCATAGCATCCAAGACACCCTGGATGATAGAAAAATTCTTAAAGGGGGCTGAGGACGTGGCAGAGGCCACACATTGCAAAGCCATCTAAGAATGATTTCATCCTACTCTTTTAAACCCATGAGAGGATTTTGATCCCAAGTTGTATAATTACAGAGATAGGCCAAGTAGACCCTCCCCTGGACTTCCATCGTCCGCATGAAGGCTAGGGAGTAGGGTTGTTTGAACCTGTTTCCACTTCCTATACTCCCGAAGTTAAGTGTGTCTTGCCCTGGTTTGGACCACTAGCATAACATGAGTCCATTTCTTAAAGATACCAAAACTGAGCTCACTTTTTGTTGCCCTCAGGGATTCTAGCAGGAAGTGAGCCTCCTCCAGGATCCGATCTTCAATGGATCTCCTTCCCATCCCAAAATTCCTCAGTGTTGTGATGGAGAATCGGCGTAGCTGTTTGGCCCGTTCCCCGTTACTGAAGACAACCCCTGAGAAGCAAAGGAGGAGGAGGAGGAGGAAGGCATGTGCTCTGAATGAGAACGGGGTTGAAACTGCACAACAATGAAGAATGCCCCCCTTAAAAATTCACATTTTGAATTTTTTGCCTGGTTTCTAAAATTGTAATTTCAGCATTTGGAAGAACATTGTAAGCGTCAGGGTTTCCTCTCATAGGGTGTGTTCCTAGGTGTGTTGTTGTGTGCAAAGAGAGTTGTGGTCTTTATAGGATCTGTTAGAATTCCTGCTCCGTGATTGCAGTCATGGGATTGTTGTCTATCACATGACGGTATATGCTTTGACTCCACAGAGTGGGAAGTGACGGAGGCAGGATGTTTGTGTTCCTGTGTTCCGTAAAGTGGGACTATTGTCCTTCGTTCTTTTCCTCTTTGCTGTCTGATGCTAGAGAGAGAGGGAGTCATGTTGCAGTGCTCCGTGTGTGTTTATATGTAAATAAAGTCAATTAGCCAAAATGCTGAGTTGCTGAGGTCTGTTTCGCAAGCTGCGCAAACTCTGTGGATCCCTAAGTGTCAGCTGGCATCGGTCGCTGTGATGTTCGGGCTGAAGAAAGCTTTTGAAGCTCCCGAACGATCGACCAGGAGGGCGGGAACCTGCCAGTCGGGCATTGTCTCTGCCAGGGTCCTACTTGAGTGTAGGCTGAACTCCTGACAGGATCATGGAGTTGGGGTGGGATGGGGGCTTGCAAACTCTCGTCCAGCACCCTTCTTGATGGCTTGTCTCAATGGCATTGGAAGACATTCTCTCTGCCTCACTTCTTTCCACTGTAAAATATGTATTTTAAAAATGTACTTCAGGCACACCCAACTCCCAAGAGACTGTGATCTACTCCCAGTATAAGAAAACTATCAGTGATCTACACATTGTCATTGGAGGAAGGAGGAGTGCCCCAAGTTGTTGAGCCTAAGGGGGAATGCCATAAATCGCTCGCCAAACAATCTACTGCTGGCCAACAAAAGCAGCGCTAAAGCCAAGTATCGTATCCACTATCATCATCAGCAGATGCCAAACGACTGCCACTTTAAATAATCCCGCGATCGATCAGGATCATCCAGGGATCTATCTGTCAATCGAGGTCGACCAGTTGAACATGTCTGATTTGCTTCATAGGACCAGGGGAGGTTCACTAGAAGTGCCCTATAGATGCCCATAATCATGCACTTTGTTCTGCATTAAAAATAATAACAATCATGCCTCTGGACTGCAAAAGCAGAGACTGACCGTAACCCCGGAAAAGCCAGTCAAACGTGGCTTGCTCTCCACGGCCGCTGAACTCTTCGGCCTGGTCCACCAGGGCCTCCTTCACGGCATCGTATCCACACAAGACCACAACACGGCGGGGCCCTAAGTGGATGGTGAAGACAGGACCATATTTCTCATGGATCTGTGAAAAGAGAAGGAGGGCATTGTGTGAGGTGATGGAACAGATGGAGAGATGGAGCAAATAGATTGGTTTTCAGGAAGACAAGGAATCGTAAAATAATTTTTATTTATACCCCGCCCTCCCCAGCCAAGACCGGGCTCAGGGTGGCTAACACCAGGTATAAAAACAATTGATTAAGATACAACTTAAAAACAAGATTAAAATACAACATTAAAGTGCAGCCTCATTTCAGTAGAAACTCAAATCAAAAACTTTTTGGAGATGAAAATGTCCAATCTTCACCGAGGCCAACTAACCCGACTGGTTCTACGTGGGCCAGAAAAAAGCCAGGGAAGTCCCCAAATAGGAGTTCCATCACAGAAGGAGAAAGGAAAAAGGAAAGAGGGGGAGGGGATCGAGTTGATTCCAAGCCAAAGGCCAGGCGGAACAACCCTGTATTACAGGAAGGACAGATCCTGAAGCTGAGGCTCCAATACTTTGGCCACCTCATGAGAAGAGAAGACTCCCTGGAAAAGACCCTGGTGTTGGGAAAGATGGAGGGTGCAAGGAGAAGGGGACGACAGAGGATGAGATGGCTGGACAGTGTTTTTGAAGCTACGGGTTTGACCAAACTGCGGGAGGCAGTGGAAGACAGGAGGGCCTGGCGTGCTCTGGTCCAGGGGGTCACGACGAGTCGGACACGACTAAACAACTAAACAACAACAACAACAACAATCCACACAAGAAATGGGAAAGAAAGATGGAGCTCTCTGGACCAAGGTGCCTCAAGGAAGGGGGACAATGAGCCAGTGAGTGGACCTCTGTCTAAAGGAAGATTCATTGCAGGGGAAGGTACAGAGAGATGGGACTCTCGTCCAGGACCTGGAAGAAAAGGAGGTCAGAGCTATTGGTGTGGAGGGAGTGGCAACCCATGAAAGCTTTGAGGAATGGGGAATGCACAAGCCAGGATTCTACAAATTGCCTACCCCAAAAAAAGTATTTTAGGGGAAATGCACACCATCTGGCCTGGCTTCAGATATCAGATGGCCTTGTAATCTCCCCAGGTAGTTGGTGTCAGCAAGCTGAATCTGGATGGGAAAGAGTCGATTCAGATAAAGCGCTTCGAGAGCATTGGATTATGGCAGAGTTCTTATTCTCCCAGGTTTTTCTGTCCCTCCCCTGCTGTTCCCCTCCTCCAAATGCAGCTGGTAATAATAATAATAATAATAATAATAATAATAATAATAATAATAATATGCCAGATCTCAGGGCGACTCACAAGATAAAAAATACAAGATAAAAATTCCAGTTTCATTGACAACAATTACACAGGTAGACTGCAAAAGCGTTTGGGTTGGTCATTGCAGTTCAGTGTTGGAGCTAACTCTTTATTCTCAAAACCTCCATCTCCACATGACTCTCAGCAGTTCATTCCCGCTGGTCTTACTGCGTGCAAATCAGTTGCTGAGACTGAAAGTCCCCGCCTTCGCGATGCTGCCCTCCTCCCCCCCCCCCCCAGTTTAGATGCAGGCCCCACCCTGCTACCTTCTCCAAGCTACCTCCTTCCCCTTCACAGCCCTGCTGCTGCCAGCCCCATCACCACACCTGTAACCTCACCTGTGACCTGTGCCTGCTCTACCACCACGGTGCAGCAGCAGCAGCAGCAGCAAGGGTGCAGTGGCAAGAGCGGGGGGGGGCTGTGTTGGCAGCCCAGGAAAAGTCCCAGGGAGGGAGGCTGTCCCAGGGAGGGAAATGGCTTCACCTCACCTAATGCCCCTGGTCTCCAGTTTTACCTACTGGGTGCAGATGGTTCTGCGGACGAGGGAACTGTAGAAATAACGGAGGACAGCAAGGGAGTTGAATGCTTGTGAGCTGTGCAGGAGCAAGCAAGCTAGCAAGCTCCAAACAAGCTGCCGACTAGCTCTGCAGAGGCTCCTTTTATTAGCAGAAGTCAACAATAGGAAACAGTAGTGAAACCACCCTGAACTTAATGTATTTCCAGCAAGGCCAGTTGCAGGTAGTTCCGAAGGTGGAACTGGTACAGCAGGGATATACTATGTGTATGGCAACTGTCTGTTTATGTCACTTGATGCTGCACTAGTTTATGCAGCAATGGTTACCTAAAAATGGGGGAGTGATGTTAGGATTTTAACCTATCCGAGCTGCTCCAACAGTGGCAGTATGCTTTGTATACATCATGTGAGTGTCTCAGTGAGCGTGAGACAGGAAGTCTCATTACTGTTGGAACTCAGTTTCACTTCTGTATGTGTCGCCGTTTTCTGTACAGTGGTGCCTCACAAGACGAAATTAATCCGTTCCGCGAGTCTCTTCATCTTGCGGTTTTTTTGTCTTGCGAAGCACGGCTATTAGCGGCTTAGCGGCTATTAGCGGCTTAGCGGCTATTAACGGCTTAGCGGCTTAGCGGCTATTAGCGGCTTAACGGCTTAGCGGCTATTAGCGGCTTAGCGGCTTAGCAGCTATTAACGGCTTAGCGGCTTTAAGAAAAAGGAAACAAACTCGCAAGAACTCGCAAGACGTTTCATCTTGCGAAGCAAACCCATAGGGAAATTCGTCTTGCAGAATGACTCAAGAAACGGAAAACCCTTTCGCCTAGTGAGTTTTTCATCTTGTGAGGCATTCGTCTTGCGGGGCACCACTGTACTGGTGTTCAAAGAGCACAGACGTGCTGATGGAGTCTCTGTATATAGACTGTAAATAAAGTAGTTTTAGAACTACGAAGGATTCTTTCTTCTGCTATGATAAACCAGAAGATTAGTGTCGCTTATCACTGGTCTCTCTGGACCGAGGGAGATTTACAGGCAGAGAGGGCCACCGGAGAGGCGCTCCGAAGACTTGGGAAGTTGGCAGCCTTTCCAGGGGCGTGTTTCCAACACATTTCCAGCGCTAGCAATACACGTGTCAGATAGGCGTTTTCCCCCCAAATGTTCCCCTGATACTTGAAAGCCTGTTTGTCTTGTCTTGCTCCAGCCAAGTGGAACTTTAAGCAAAGCTTTCTGCAAGGGAGGCACAGAATGGGCATGGCAGCCAGACACGCTGTGGCGTGTCTTATGAGGAGGTGGGGATGCCCCCACACTGCATCCGCATCCCCACAGGAACTCGAACCAATTCCGAAGAACCATATAGTTGTGTTACGGATAAAATGCACGTCGATAAATGCACCCCCCCACACACACACACAAATGTGCACAAGCGGCAACCACAGTTGCACATATTCTGAAAATGGCACACACAGTGGCAGAAAAACAGCTCTTCAAACTTTAGATCCCTGCCCTTTAGAATTGGAGAAAGAAAGGAAAAACCTTACAAAAACAGCAACGCCTTTAGGCAGTGCCAAGAAAGGCTCTGAAAAACATCCTGTCATTACCTCATCCATCAAACAGAAGAAGTGGAGACCACACTCTGAGGGAGCTTCTAATTAACGCTTGCAAACCCTTTTTCATGAATGGAAAGGCCAGAAATATATGAATACAGTAGTTTGTTTTGAAACAGAATTCGAACAAAAGTCACAAAGTCATGTGCAGAGTGGATCAGAGGGGTTCTGAGCAACAGGGCATGGCCAGGTCACGGGCAGAAAAATAGAGCAGAGCTTTCCAGACTTTGTGTGTTGGTGATAAGCCTTTTAGACATGCCTCATTTTGCGACACAGCAAATCACTTCTACTAGCAAACTGGAGGATAAACCAACCCCTTTCCAGCTCCAGAAGGAGTGCAGGAAGCATTCGCGCGACGAATCTACACACTGCAGCCAACACATGAACATGTCACGACACAGAGTTTGGGAAAACTCTTGGTTAGAGTGTGTATAGGACCAGGTCCTGGGTCATAATAATAATAATAACCTTAATCTTCACCATCATCATCGTCTACAAAAACTGGAACACAAATGCCTCATCTCGTTCTCTTTCCTAGTCCAATCAAGGCAACACCATCGCTGCCTAAACTGGGGTGTGGGGATTTTTGAGCGCCTCACTAGAAATAGCACAACAAAGAGGCAAAGAAAGGCTGCCTTTTATTCCCCTTGGGATCCCTTTCTGACTCGAACATAGATTCTGTTCATCTGGGACTCACCATTGTGGGACTGCCCCATTTTCTTTCATACCCTCCTTGTTTCCGGGGGTCACCCCATGCAGCCTTTTGGTCATTTGCCACAACATTTGTGGTGTGTGTGCGTGTAATGCAAACCCATCAGGGTACCCACCCTTCATTCTGACTTGTCTGTAGGGAAGCTACATGACAAGCAATGGGTGCCCCACACTTTCCAGGGCATTCCCACATCACTGTCCTTACAATGAATCTATGAGTTATGTATCTATGCTTGATGGTGACAGCAGTCACGAAATTAAAAGACGCCTGCTTCTTGGGAGAAAAGCAATGACAAACCTAGACAGCATCTTAAAAAGCAGAGACATCACCTTGCCAACAAAGGTCCGTACAGTCAAAGCTATGGTTTTCCCACTAGTGATGTATGGAAGTGAGAGCTGGACCATAAAGAAGGCTGATCGCTGAAGAATGGATGCTTTTGAATTCTGGTGCTGGAGGAGACTCTTGAGAGTCCCAAGAACTGCAAGAAGATCAAACCTATCCATTCTGAAGGAAATCAGCCCTGAGTGCTCGCTGGAAGGACAGATCCTGAAGCTGAGGCTCCAAGGCTTTGGCCACCTCATGAGAAGAGAAAACTCCCTGGAAAAGACCCTGATGTTGGGAAAGATGGAGGGCAGAAGGAGAAGGGGATGACAGAGGACGAGATGGTTGGACAGTGTTCTCGAAGCTACCAGCATGAGATTGACCAAACTGCGGGAGGCAGTGGAAGACAGGAGTGCCTGGCATGCTCTGGTCCATGGGGTCATGAAGAGGCGGACATGACTAACAACTAAACAACAACAACAATCTATGCTTGATGAGCCACTTGGGACACAAGAAGTGAACCTTCTCACGCCTGGCTGAGGAATGTGCACTTGGAGCGTTCCTGCACTGCAAGGGTTGGGCTACGTGACCCCTGGGGTCCCCTCCTTCCACACTTCTAGGCTTCCAAGTCCCCGAGTGGCTTGCAAAACTATTGAGGGCACTTGGCCAGGAGATGAGAGGAAAGGCGGCCAGATGGACAGACAGGTGTCCAGAGACTTACCTTCATCAGCGACTGATACATGTCCTTTGTGTTGACTTGCAGCAGGTTCCCAATGAAGGGCAGCGGAGTCGGTCCAGGCGGCAGCTTCTCTCTCTTCTTCCATGCTGAGAGGAACAGCAAGCAGAAGAGGAAGGAGGCCAACAGGAGGGTCCATGGGCCCAGGAGGTCCATGGGAAGGCTGGATGGCAACCTGCAGGTGAGGAGCAGAGGAAGAGATGGACTTACTGGAAGGAGCTTATGCAGCTCAGTCGCAGCTTCTGAAAGCTGCAATTAAGTGAACAACAGATTTATCTATCTACCCTCTATCTCTGCAGTTGGAGATAACAATAAATTAATTTCCGGAAGCTCCAGAGTGGATGGTTCACTGACAGGATAGAGAAAATCTACTGGGTGAGTAATCTGGGAGCGGGAGAAAATCTCAGCATTGCCTAAGAACCACTTAAGGCACTGAAGATCAATCCAGCAAAAACACATGCCACTCGTCTTCTTATTGTTTTATTTCACTGCCTTTGAAACTACGCCTATGTCAATTTAAGTGCTCATGCAAAATGTGACCTGATGACTGATTTAGGTTATTGGTAAAGGTACTTGATAAAGAACAAGCAGAAAGCTCAGTTTGAACTATAAATCAAACAAAGGTGTTCTCTATCTCTGAGAGGTTTTCTCCCGGGCTTGTCCTGCGGTTCTTTTGAGCCTCTGTTGTTCATGTTTATTTTGCAAGGGAAATTTGTACTTGTGGTGAGATTGGAATTCTGAGCATCACAAGGACACACTGCTTGACTGTGAGAAGGCTGCACTGTGAATGCATATGACTGCAAGGATGAAGAATTCTGAAAGGCACTCCATTGACAGTTAATGTGGCAATAGCACTGTTTGAGGAAATAGGTGTGCAGGTGAGAAAAATGATTCTAGGAGAATCTGTTGATGAAGTGCCAGAATTGCCAGAAAGATATGGGCTTTTCTGGCAATTGCAGGCTCAGATTGGGGGGGGGGCAAGGGGGAAGAAAACAATATTTGAATCAGAGACGCAGTCTGGAAAGCAGAAAGGAATGGCAGAGTTGCACATGGGTGTGCAAAGACTGGGAGGAACAGAGCTGCCAAATACTGGGGGTTTGGTTTATTTATTTTAGGGGGGTGGGCAGGAGTGGAGCCAAAGCAGAGAAAGGATAGACTTTGTGTGCAGTCTGAAAGGAATCTTGCTCCTCTGGTGAACTGGAAGAAGAGGAGAAAGGCTGGACAAACAGGACTGATGGACTGATATACAGATACAGGACTGATACAGAGCTGTATACAGAGCTGATACAGGACTGATACAGATACAGGACTGATACTGATACATATCTGGAAACGACACAGGAAATGGATTGGGGCACAAATTAAGGTTTTAAAGTAACTGAACTTCTATGCATTAATATACAAACACAGCTTTTAAAAAGCTTTTCTTTCGGAGATAAGGAATAAAGAGGGACTGTTTTATAATTGAAACAAAATTTAAAAATTGCTTCCACTAGCACCTTAAAGGTAAACGGACCCCTGACCATTAGGTCCAGTCGCAGCCGACTCTGGGGTTGTGACGCTCATCTCGCTTTATTGTACCTCATTTATTATCATTCTTGTGTTATTTGTCTCATTCTAATGTGGTAAGAACTGTATACAGATGTGAGAGGCAGAGAAGGGGAGAGCTCCCGGGTTGAGAGGCTTTGAGAAGAGAAGGGGAGCCCAGGTGAGAGCTGGGAGGGCACACCTGCCTCTGGAGAGGATGAAAATTAAGGTATACTGACAAGGCAGGATATTGCAGCTTCTTTGTCTCTTCCTTCTTCCTTTAGTTTCTTTCTTTACTTTATTTCCTGCAGGTGGGTTTGCTCCTTTTATTGCACAGTCATACCTTGGGTTACAGCCACTTCAGGTTGTGTTTTTTCGGGTTGCAGACCGCTGAAACCTGGAAGTACCTGAAGTGCTAAATTGCGCTTTGCACATGCGCAGAAGGCACTGAATCGCAACCCGCGCATGTGCAAACGCGGGTTGTGAAGGCTGCATGTTGCGAACATGCATCCAGCACGGATCACGTTCACAACCCGAGCGTCCACTGTATTGCAAAAACTTCAATTAAAAAACGGGGCAGAGCTCACCCAGCTGCTGAGAAACGGGCAGTATCGCATTGGGGAAGAGGCTGCGAGGCCTGGGAACATTTTCTTCCCCTTCTCCATTTTCATTGGCATTTATATGGTGCTTTCCTGCCAAGTCGTCTCTTTTCAAAAATGAAGCACTGAAGCAAATAAATAATCTAAACTAAGAAGATGGCCCTGGGGATTAGGGCGGGGCACACCGTCCAATTGGGGCTGGCCCTGAGGTTGCCTCTGCCTGTGACCCCTGCCTTCCTCCAATCCTTCCTTTCCCAGAACTTTTTCCTGGCTCTCAGGAGCGACTGTTCTTTCCTAAGAGAGACAGTGCAGCATAGTCAGTGGTGGAGGAAGGGGAGTGTGGTGGGGGCGGTCCGCCCCTGGTGTCATCCCTGAGGGGGGGTGACATCGCCGCCCCACCCCCCTGGGACGCTCACTGTGGGTGGCGCCCCCCTGGCACACAACATGTGCGCCGTTCCAGGTGCCACAGCAGCTAGCTCCACCACTGAGCATAGTTGTCAGAGTGCAGGACAATGACCTGGCAGAGATCAGGGTACAAATTGCCACCACTTGACCATGGAGCTCGGTGGGTGTTACCTTGGGGGGGGGCAGTCACAGTTTCTCAGCCTGGCCTACCTCACAGGAGTGTCAAGAAGATAAAATGGGGAGTGGGAGAAACTTGCACACCTCCTTGAGCACTTGGGGGGGAGGAAGTGACAGACATATCTTGAAATAAAGGATAGATAGATGATAGATAGATAGATAGATAGATAGATAGATAGATAGATAAGGTAAAGGGACCCCTGACCATTAGGTCCAGTTGTGATCGACTCTGGGGTTGCAGCGCGCATCTCGCTTTATTGGCCGAGGGAGCCGGCGTACAGCTTCTGAGTCATGTGGCCAGCATGACTAAGCCGCTTCTGGCGAACCAGAGCAGCGCACGGAAACACCATTTACCTTCCCGCCGGAGCAGTACCTATTTATCTACTTGCACTTTGACGTGATTTCGAACTGCTAGGTTGGCAGGAGCAGGGACCGAGCAACAGGAGCTCACCCTGTTGCGGGGATTCGAACCGCCAACCTTCTGATCGGCAAGTCCTAGGCTCTGTGGTTCAACCCACAGCACCACCCGCATCCCAGATAGATGGATAGATAGATGATATGAAAACTTAGAGAATTTGAGGAGGCAGGCTCCGGCAAAATTTGATTGTTGGTCCTTTGACTGCCTTGGTAGTTGGAAAGCCTCCAGGCCAGAGGCATGCAGGTACCCTATTTTATGCCTGCATTTAGTTTCTAAACTGGGGTCATCAGGCCCTAACCTTGCATTTAGGTTGCCCACCAGCAGGACCTTTGATCCCGGATAATCTGCTAGCAGTAACCTGACATAAGAATCCAGTCTACTCCAGTTGCCCTCAATGTCACTTTTTTTGCTAGTTGGGGGGAATATAAACGTTAATAATTAGTAAACTGTAGTTTCCCCAGGATATGAGTAGGGCCATTGCTAGGTGATAGGGGGGACAGCTCCTTACAGGTGGCGTTTAGGCATAGTGAGATCAGAATGCATAACCCCCCTTTGAGCCTCCCTGGTCCTCTGCCTGCGACCGCTGTAACTGCATATGTATAGTATCCTTCCAATGATGAGTTTTCAGCTGCCCACGTCTCCTGGAGGGCGATGATATTAAAGTTTTGGCAGTAGAAGGGAATATCTGTAAAATGGAATAGGCATCTGGACCAGCTGGCTACATTCCAGGACAGGATGTTTAGGGCAGTAGATAATAGATAGATGATAGATAGATAGATAGATAGATAGATAGATAGATAGATGATAGATAGATAGATAGATAGATAGATAGATGATAGATAGATAGATAGATAGATAGATGATAGATAGATAGATAGATAGATAGATAGATAGATAGATAGATAGATAGATGATAGATAGATAGATGAGAGATGATGATAGATAGATAGATAGATATAGATAGATAGATAGATAGATAGATGATAGATAGATAGATAGATAGATGATAGATAGATAGATGATAGATGATAGATGATAGATGATAGATAGATGATAGATACCGTAAATAGATAGATATAGATAGTTAGATAGATAGATATAGATAGATAAATAGATGATAGATAGATAGATAGATAGATAGATAGATAGATAGATAGATATAGATAGATAGATAGATAGATAGATGATAGATAGATAGATAGATGATAGATAGATAGATAGATAGATAGATGATAGATAGATGATAGATAGATAGATAGATAGATAGATAGATAGGATAGATAGATAGATGATAGATAGATAGATGATAGGTAGATAGGTAGATAGATGAGAGATGATAGATGATAGATAGATAGATAGATAGATGATAGATAGATGATAGATGATAGATGATAGATGATAGATAGATAGATGATAGATAGATAGATAGATAGATAGATGATAGATAGATAGATATAGATAGATAGATAGATAGATAGATGGATGATAGATAGATAGAGAGAGAGAGAGAGAGATAGAAAGATAGATAGATGATAGATAGATAGATGATAGATGATGATGATAGATAGATAGATAGATAGATGATTAGATAGATAGATAGATAGATAGATGATAGATAGATAGATAGATGATAGATGGTAGATGATAGATGATAGATAGATAGATAGATGATAGATAGATAGATAGATATAGATAGATAGATAGATAGATAGATAGATAGATAGATAGATAGATAAATAGATGGATAGATGATAGATAGATAGATGATAGATGATAGATAGATAGATATAGATAGATAGATAGATAGATAGATAGATAGATGATAGATGATAGATAGATAGATAGATAGATAGATGATAGATAGATGATAGATAGATAGATAGATAGATAGATGATAGATAGATAGATAGATAGATAGATAGATAGATAGATAGATATAGATAGATAGATGATAGATGATAGATAGATGATAGATAGATGATAGATAGGATAGATAGATAGATAGATAGATAGATAGATAGATGATAGATAGATAGAGGGTAGATAGATGATAGATATTGAGATAGATGATAGATAGATGATGATAGATAGATAGATAGATGATAGATAGATAGATGATAGATAGATAAAAAGGTAAAGGTACCCCTGCCCGTACAGGCCAGTCTTGACAGACTCTAGGGTTGTGCGCCCATCTCACTCAAGAGGCCGGGGGCCAGCGCTGTCCAGAGACACTTCCGGGTCACGTGGCCAGCATGACGAAGCTGCTCTGGCGAGCCAGAGCAGCACACGGAAACACCGTTTACCTTCCCGCTAGTAAGCGGTCCCTATTTATCTACTTGCACCCGGGGGTGCTTTCGAACTGCTATGTTGGCAGGCGCTGGGACCGAACAACGGGAGCGCACCCCGCCGCGGGGATTCGAACCGCCGACCTTTCGATCGGCAAGCCCTAGGCGCTGAGGCTTTTACCCACAGCACCACCCGAGTCCCCTAGATAGATAGATAGATAGATAGATATAGATAAATATAGATAGATGATAGGTGATGGATGATAGATGATAGAGATAGATTAGATAGAGATAGATAGAGATAGAGATAGATAGATAGATAGATAGATAGATAGATAGATAGATAGATAGATAGATGATAGATAGATAGATAGATAGATGATAGATAGATGATAGATAGATAGAGATAGATAGGTAGATAGATAGATGATAGATAGATAGATAGATAGATATAGATAGATAGATATAGATAGATAGATGATAGATAGATAGATAGATAGATAGATGATAGATGATAGATAAATAAATATAGATAGATGATAGATGATGGATGATAGATGATAGAGATAGATTAGATAGAGATGATAGATAGATAGATAGATAGATAGATGATAGAAGATAGAGAGAGAGAGAGAGAGAGAGAGAGAGAGAGAGAGAGAGAGATGATAGATTAGATAGATAGATAGATAGATAGATAGATGATAGATAGATAGATAGATAGATGATAGATAGATAGATGATAGATAGATAGATGATAGATAGATAGATATAGATAGATAGATAGATAGATAGATAGATAGATAGATAGATGATGATAGATGATAGATAGATAGATAGATAGATAGATGATAGATGATATAGATAGATGATAGATAGATAGATGATAGATAGATATAGATAGATGATTGATTGATTGATTGATAGATAGATAAGATAGATATAGATAGATAGATAGATAGATAGATAGATAGATAGATAGATAGAGATAACCTTTCCTGTGCAGTCCATTTATGCCCCCCAGCTCTCTGCCCCCCCCCCCGACGTTTCCAGCAACTCATATTCAGAAAATTGCTGCCACTGACTGTGGAGGCAGAGCTCAGCCATCTCAGGGGGGAGAAGGAGGGTGATATGGAACGACCACCCTTGGGTTCCTCCTCACCCCGGGGTGCCTGCCAAACCATTTCATTGAAGTGCCCCGGTTGCCAAGCGTTCATATTCCCCTCCCCTACAGCGTCCTGACAGAGGGAAGGGTGGGAGAGAGACACATAGCTGCACAGGAAGATTGGCACAGACGTACAGCCGCCGTTCGGCCGTTTGGTGTCTAGTCTCTTTGCCCACGGATCCCAGTTAGCTAAAAAAACGAGGTCTCCATCCCATCCGCCAGGGCTCAAATGTCTTGCAAACGCCTCTCTGTGCCACTGTCCCTACCTTAGTCGGCTACTCAGTCTGTCCTGCTCCCTTCTCAAAATGCTGGATCCACACAGGTCCACACCCTTTGCAACGGCTCACTGAGACACCCAGAAGGGGAGGCAGCGGAGGAGGAGGAAAGAGCTGGACTTGGCCTTAAGCCACACTCGCAGCTGCAGACATGAACTCAGTCGCCCTTTATTATTTTTATAGATTTGTTCTCCCTCCCCTCCACCCCCCCACCCAAAAAAAGTACAGAAAAAACAAAAAGGAGAGCGGGGGGGGGACACACCAGAAATCTAAACCATGGGTAGGCAAGCTAAGGCCCGGGGGCCAGATCCGGCCCAATCGCCTTCTCAATCTGGCCCACAAACGGTCCAGAAATCAGCATGTTTTTACATGAGTAGTATATGTGCTTTTATTTAAAATGCACCTCTGGGTTATTTGTGGGGCATAGGAATTTGTTCATTTCCCCCCAAAAAAGATATAGTCCCCCCCCCCCAAGGTCTGAGGGACAGTGGACCGGCCCCCTGCTGAAAAAGTTTGCTGACCCCTAGTCTCTATCGTGGGTAGGCAAACTATGGCCTGGGGGCCGGATCCGGCCCAATCGCCTTCTAAATCTGGCCCAGGGATGGTCCGGGAATCAGTGTGTTTTACATGACTAGAATGTGTGCTTTTATTTAAAATGCACCTCTGGGTTATTTGTGGGGCATAGGAATTTGTTCATCCCCCCCCAAAAAAAAATATAGTCCACCCCCCCCCCACAAGGTCTGAGGGACAGTGGACCGGCCCCCTGCTGAAAAAGTTTGCTGACCCCAGATCTAAACTAAACTATGAAAGCGGCACAACCTGGAAGGACAAAGAATGTAAAGATCCTGAACATCTCCAAAGGGAATTGGTTTAATTGTTAAATTAAAGCGACTTCCAGTTCTGTGGTGCACAAATCTAGCAAGTGGGGGAGACTCCACCCTCCTCAGATTACATCTGGCTTTCAAGAGGCGGTTGGGGCTCAACCGCTTCCTACATTGGTTGTCCAGAACGTATTCTCTGAATGTAGGTTTCTGGCGGAATGTGTTTCTGGCGTTCTGTACCTTTACCAAGGCAACTGGGAGACTCACTTTTGGGTGGGAATTCCTGGTTGTGAATGTTTTGGTGGATATTACGTCCTGGTGTTTTGGCTGATTGTGAAGTATTCAAATCTTGAAAACACAAGAAGTGGGTAAAAGACCCTTTCTAAGTGGTAAGCTTGAAGTGACACAGGTGGCACAGTGGGTTAAACCACAGAGCCTAGGACTTGCTGATCAGAAGGTCGGCGGTTCGAATCCCCGCGACGGGGTGAGCTCCCGTTGCTCGGTCCCTGCTCCTGCCAACCTAGCAGTTCAAAAGCACGTCAAAGTGCAAGCAGATAAATAGGTACCGCTCCGGTGGGAAGGTAAACGGTGTTTCCGTGCGCTGCTCTGGTTCGCCAGAAGCGGCTTAGTCATGCTGGCCACATACCCGGAAGCTGTACACCGGCTCCCTCGGCCAATAAAGCGAGATGAGCGCCGCAACCCCAGAGTTGGTCACGACTGGACCTAATGGTCAGGGGACCCTTTACCTTTACCTTTAAGGGGTAAGCTATAGTTTTCATTCTGGGATTGAGTTACATCTTTGTGTAACAAGGACTTTGAAGGAGATAAAAGCAAGCATCCAAACGAAGCTTCTTTCTAGTCATGCCGCTGTGAGTATAGAATGGAGAAATGAGAATCAAAAGTCTGGGAATGGGATATGGAGCTTAGATCCAAATTTTCTACTGCAAAGGGGAGTCAAAGGACAGATCCAAGGGAGCTTCTTTTTAAAAGGGGGAGGAGTGTGGCAAATGAATTTGTATCTTTTGCAGGAAATTGCAACGGCCCAGACTCTACTTTCCTCTTATTTTCTGACTCCCCCCCCCCAACTGGACTCAGAGCCATTGTGGTGTAGTGGTTAAGAGCGGTAGTCTCGTAATCTGGTGAACCGGGTTCGATTCCCCGCTCCTCCACATGCAGCTGCTGGGTGACCTTGGGCCAGTCACACTTCTTTGAAGTCTCTCAGACCCACTCACCTCACAGAGTGTTTGTTGTGGGGGAGGAAGGGAAAGGAGAATGTTAGCCGCTTTGAGACTCCTTAAAGGGAGTGAAAGGCGGGATATCAAATCCAAACTCCTCTTCTTCTTCTTCTTCTTCTTCTTCTTCTTCTTCTTCTTCTTCTTCTTCTTCTTCTTCTTGTACCAGGTAGGGCCTGGGTGGCGGCAACGAGAAATCAAGTGGTGGCACAGGGATCAATAGAGGGTGAAACGTCCGGGACCCTGTGTGATCGCCACAGGAGGGTCAACCCCTTTGTGAGTTCAAGAACTCCCCAACTTGTTTACGATACGATATCTTTATTGTCATTGTCCCATGCAGAACAATGAAATTGGAAAACTACATAAAACTACCAGAGAACAACATAAAACATTCAAAAACCCCTAAAAACTCTAAAACCCCATTTTAGAGGGGAATGGCACACATGTCATAAAAACGTGGGATGGTGACAAAGCCAACCAGCATGGGAGAGATGTCGATCTGTTCAGGTGGGATGGGCGATTTGAAGCGGAAGTTCTGCAGGATGCTGGTGAAGATGAGGAAGAGCTCCTTCCGGGCTAGTTGTTCCCCTAAGCAATAGCGCTTCCCTAGGAAAGAGGAGGAAGGTGAATACGGGCTTTCAGGGTGCTGTTATGGATGGCTTAGGAGTGCTTGGGAAAGGAAGGGGACTGACTCACCAACAGAGAAAGGCATAAAAGCTTCATTCTTCTTGAACTGCCCATTCTCATCCAGGAAATGTTGGGGGTCAAACACGTCTGGTCTTGCAAAGTGTTGGGCGTCTCTCAGCACAGACCCAAGCATGGGAAACACTTCAGTCCCCTGAGCAAGAAAGGGAGAGAAATGAGAAGATACAGGAGAAATGGGAGATTCTTCTGGGGGGCAAGAAATCATTCTGAGATTTGAGGCTGCATATTCCACTCTCCAACACCAGACTGTTAAAGTTTGTGGGTCGTAAAACCTTTGACCCACGGAGTCTGCTGCAACGGCACTGCAATAAATCTGATTTATTGGCACTCCGACAAACTTCAATGGTGCCCCCACGCTTCCACTCATGCGCTGCCTCTCTTCTCAGTTGTCAGATAGTAGCAGAGTTCACACGCAGCGTAAAATGGCTTTGTCTGTGTCTGCGTGGTGTCTTCAATAACTCAGCTCGACACCAGTGCTTCTAATCTATCCCTCTTTATTTAGAAGCATACAAAAAACAGAAAAGAAAAACCTACAGAATCTAGCTGCATGCTCACAGCTTTCTGTCTTTAACAAAAATGAAACTACCTTGCTCACATTATCAGACAGACTGCTCTCTGCAGCCCACAGAGAGCATAGATCAAAGGGAAAATGCCCGGGTCATGGGGGCAGTGCACCCAGTTAATAAAAATGCTTCCTGGAGTGTTAACTCTTAACCATCCAGAACCACAACACCATTGGTGGTGTGGCCAGCTCTGAAGCACAGGAGGTTATCATAGCCATGCCCACCCCAGAAAGTCCACAAATGTAAGCAACTGTAGCAATCCATCGATTTAAATCAGGCACCGCCAACCTGCGGCCCTCCAGATGTTTTGGCCTACAACTCCCATGATCCCTAGCTCAGTGTTTCCCAACCTTGTGCCTCCAGCTGTTTTTGGACTACAATTCCCATCATCCCTTGCCACTGGTCTTGCTAGTCAGGGATGATGGGAGTTGTAGTTCAAAAACAGCTGGAGGCACAAGGTTGGGAAACACTGCCCTAGCTAACAGGACCAGTGGTCAGGGATGATGGGAACTGAAGTCCCCAGAGGAGCCCATGTGGTCCTTCTGCTGGCATATCAGCACAGCACTGTCCTTGCAGCTGCCTCGCTCCTCCTGCTAAGCCACAGCGATGCCAGGAAAACAAATGAATACTGCCAGGCCTCCCCAGCATCCACACCTCTGTTTCCCTGATTGTTATCATTCAGAGAGTAAGGACAGGTGGAACAGATGTGTTTGGGGAACGTCACTGAGCCACAAACTATATCTGGAAGGGTGGAGTCTAAGTCTAAGGAATTAATAGAAGCACAATACCTTGGGAATGGTGTATCCCCGGAACTGGGTATCACGGGTCACACATCTTGCTACTCCGGAGGGGAACATGTTAGTGAATCTCTGGATCTCGTGGATCACAGCTTCCGTGTAGGGCATCAGGGGACGGTCATCCATGTTGGGAGTGCGATTCGAGCCAATCACCCGTTCAATCTCTTCGTGGACTTTCTCTGTTGAGGAATCAGCAGGATGAGAAATCAAAAGTGCTATTTGCAGCTTCCAGGGAGCTAAAGAAGGATCCCAGCTCATAGCTGGGGAAACAAAGAGGGAGCCTCCCATAGAAGGCAAGGACACATCTCTCCAGCCTATTTTCCTCCCCCTTCCGCAGTCACCTTCAACCTCCGGGTATTTCAGCAGAAGCTGGAAGCCATAGCGCAAAGTGGTGCTGATACTTTCTGTGCCAGCGAAGAAAATGGTGAGGGTCGTCATAACCAGGTTCTTTAGGAAGAACTCTGTGTTTGTGTTTTCCTTCTCCTAGTCAGAAGGGAAATGGTAAAGGAGGTTAAAATCTGGTTTTCAGGTGTCTTCAAAGTTTGTTCTCTACTACTGGTTGGCTGAGCGGCAGTGATGTCATGATGCAACCAATGAGAGTGAAGGGACAGTTGAGTAGTGTTGAAGAGGTGGCTTCGTTTCAGGGACTCTAGTTTCCTTCCAGGAAAAAAAATATTCATATTTTATAGAATAAAATCGCCATACCTGCTGCATTTTCACCAGGAAGCAGTCAATGAAATCCCGAGGGGCGTTGGGGTCCAGGGTCTCCTCTTGGGCTTTTACCTTCCTCATGATGAACTCCTCCAACCCTAAGAGCTGCTTGAAGGCTTTATGTTGTGGGCCAGGCAGGTACTGCATGACGCCCGAGAACATGTCATAGAGCTGTTTGTGTTGGTTTCAGAGGGGAGAGAAAACAGATATTGCACAAAGTGAAGCTGAGATGAAGGAAGTCACTATGTTTTATCCAGAGCATGCTGATTTCTAATTCTTTTTACCTCTGGGTGAAATTTTGCCACTCTGGATTGTGAATGGGGTGTTTCTGGAGAACAGGAAGGGAGAATTTACTGCATTTTTTGCTCTATAAGACTCACTTTCTCCCTCCTAAAAAGTAAGGGGAAATGTGTGTGCCTCTTATGGAGCGAATGCTGGCTGCGCAGCTGTCCCAGAAGCCAGAACAGCAAGAGGGATTGCTGCTTTCACTGCGCAGCGTTCCCTCTTGCTGTTCTGGCTTCTGAGATTCAGAATATTTTTTTTCTTGTTTTCCTCCTCCAAAAACTAGGTGCGTCTTGTGGTCTGGTGCGTCTTATAGAGCGAAAAATACGGTATATTGATCCAATCTAGTACTGATGGTCTCTGTTATCTTAGCCATACTTCCCATAAATTCTCTTTTCCATTGGTACAAAAATTCCATAATTTCAGCATCTGAGCTCATCTCTGGCTCCCCTATCCTTCTCTTGTTTTCAGCGCAGCCGGTTTTCTTAATCAGTCCTGATTAAGTCCGAGGCCATTCAATACAGTTTCCCAGTAAACAACAGGGGGGTCCAGTACTTTTCCAGGGGGAACGTATTCAAATCGCTTTTCCAAAATGTCTCAGAGTGGGGTACAAAGTCGCTTGCAAATTGTTCCTTAAAGTCTCAGTTGTGTTTATTGAGCCAGCTTCAAGCTTCTTTCACAGAACAATTGACAAATGGAGAAGCCGGAGGGTCAGCAAAGCAAACTGCTGAGTATGCTATCAACTTGTCACAGACATGACCTCAGGGTCTGGCTTCTCTTTTGGGGATATAGATGGAGACTTGGAGGAGGAATCAGAGGTTGAGAGGGAATTTCTTACAGTGCCATCAGCCTCAACAGCTCAATCTGGGATCAGGTGGGGCTGCAGCAACATTCTAAACTTGCTCCAGCCAGAAGCAAGGCAGATCAGGAGTTGCAGCACCATGGAGAGCTCAGGGTGAGCAACTTGCTCCTTTCCTCCCATCTTTCCCCAGGCTCTTGTGGAGATGTTATTTTCCTACAGGGCTGGGAGAAAGGGGCATCTTCTCTTTGTTAGGAGCGTCCTACTCTCGTGTAGGACCCATATAGAGACACATGCCCGACTGGCATGTTCTCTCCCTCCTGGTCTATCGTTCAGGAGCTTCAAAAGCTTTCGTTAGCCCGAACATCACAGCGACTAATGCCAAAAGGCATTAGCACACTTAGGGATCAAACTTAGGGATCAAACTTAGCATTTGCAGTTTGCATAACAGAACTCAGTAGCTCAGCATTTTGGCTAATCTACGTTTGGACCCCTGACCATTAGGTCCAGTTGTGGCCGACTCTGGGGTTGCGGCACTCATCTCACTTTATTGGCCGAGGGAGCCGGCATACAGCTTCCGGGTCATGTGGGCAGCATGACTAAGCCACTTCTGGCGAACCAGAGCAGTGCACGGAAACGCCGTTTACCTTCCCGCCGGAGCAGTACCTATTTATCTACTTGCACTTTGACGTGCTTTCAAACTGCTAGGTTGCCAGGAGCAGGGACCGAGCAACGGGAGCTCACCCCGTCGCGGGGATTTGAACTGCCGACCTTCTGATCAGCAAGTCCTAGGCTCTGTGGTTTAACCCACAGCGCCACCTACATTTATTTGCATATAATACACTCGGAGCATTCTGACTTCGCTCCTGCCTCTTTCTCATCAGACAGGAAAGAGAGAAAGGACAAAGGACAATAGTCCCACTTCACGGAACACAATAATACCAAAACATCCTGTCTCCGTCACTTCCCACACTGTGGAATGAAAACATACACTGTCATGTGATAGACAACAATCCCATGACTGCAGACACGGGGAATGAATCCCCAACACTCTTTTCCAGGGCCTCACCCCTGGTGCTCTCCCTCTGCTGCTAGACTGGTGAGGTACTGGGGAAGGGATTTGCTTCCTCAGGCTCAAGAGAAGGCAGCTGACTCCAGTTCTACTTGCCCTGGTGCTATGGAAGGATGTATTGGGCAGCTCCGTTTAGCCTTGAACATGATCTGGCTCCTTAGTGGAGATAATGACTCCGATTTCTCCCGGACTGGTCCTGCATGCCATGCCTTGAGGAGATTCATAGAAAAGACATTATTCACACACTCACAAAGGAAGTTCTTCTCATCCCCTCCAATTTACCTGTCCCCAAGAGGTGCAAGTGAACTGTAAGCTACCCAGCATCATACTCAGCAAGGAGTGGAACTCCTGATCTTCGTATTCAAAGCGGTCGCCAAAGGCGATGGAGCTGATGATGTTGCAGACCGTGCGGCTCAGGGTGTAGGTGGGGTCAAAGGGTGCGCCTGGAAAGAGAGACCCCCAAATCACTGAACCCTGGAACATGTCAAGAAGAGTTTGCAAACCAGTCCAGACTTGCCTCACATTATTCATTTGACCCACTGTTCCATTTTCTTCATAAGCCACAATTTCCTGGCCAAGTTCTCTCATATATATATATATATAATTTTTATTGATTTTAACATACAAATTATAAAATGCACCACAAAACTTATACAATCTTTTTAGACTTCCATCAGCACCTCTGATGATCCACCGTTTTAACCACTTCTTATGCATTTCTTAACTTTATATTGCCTTTACATCTCTTAACAAATCATCCTTCCCCTTCTCCATTTTTGCAATACTTCTAATCATACTCCTCACAAAACTTCTTGTAAACCTACAAACGTCGCCTGAGCTTCACAAATACTTTTTAAATAGTCCGTAAATTTACTCCAGTCTTCCGTGAATTTCTGGTCCCGCCAGTTTCGAATCCTTCCTGTTAGTTTATCTAGTCCATTAACTTCATCCTCCATTCTTCAGTCGTCGGTAATTCTTCTTGCTTCCATTTTTTGGGCCAATAAGAGCAAGTTCTCTTTTAGAGGACAAAGCTTATTGGTAATGTGCTTAGCTTAGGCAAAGTTTTCTTCGCACATAACCCAAAATAAATCGAAAGCAGCAGTGAGAACATTCAGTATAAAGCCTTCAAATGCCCAGTTAACTTCCAACGGTTTCTAACCCATTAAGAAATATTTCTTGACCCATTAAGCATGTCAAAACTGAGCTCACTTTTTGTTTCCCTCAGGGATTCCAGCAGGAAGTGGGTCTCCTCCAGGATCCGCTCTTCGACGGATCTCTTTCCCATCCCAAAATTCCTCAGCGTCGTAATGGAAAATAGTCGTAGCTGTTTGGCCCGTTCCCCGTTGCTGAAGCCAAGCCCTGAGAAGCGGAGGAGGAGGAGGGAGGAGGAGGAAGAGGAAGAGGAGCCAGAGGGGGTGCAGTGAATGAGAATGTGGATGAACCCACACAGTGATGAAGAGTGCACCCACAAAAAACCCTTCATATTCTTAATTTTTTCCTGACTTTTAAAATTGTGATTGCAGGAGATGGAAGAACATTGTATGTGCCCGGGTTCCCTCTCATAGGGTGTGTGTGTGTGTGTGTGTGTTGATTTGTGTAAAGAGGGTTGTGATCTTTAAGAACAGATGAGGAGGTGAGGCTCAATAGTCTTGAAGAAGAAGAAGAGTTTGGATTTGATATCCCGCCTTTCACTCCCTTTAAGGAGTCTCAAAGCGGCTAACAATCTCCTTTCCCTTCCTCCCCCACAACAAACACTCTGTGAGGTGAGTGGGGCTGAGAGACTTCAGAGAAGTGTGACTGGCCCAAGGTCACCCAGCAGCTGCATGTGGAGGAGCGGAGACGCGAACCCGGTTCCCCAGATTACGAGACTACCGCTCTTAACCACTACACCACACTGTCTCTCAAGACATACACTCTCAGCCTCAGTAAAATGGGTATAAAAAATCTACTTCATAGGAGCATGGGAAGGGCCATTGGCAGTGCTACATAATAATAATAATAATAATAATAATAATAATAATAATAATAATAATAATAAATAATTTATTTATACCCGCCCTCCCCAGCCAAGACCGGGCTCAGGGCGGCTAACAACCAATAATAAAAATAAGTTGATTAAAATACAACTTAAAAAACAAGATTAAAATACAACATGAAAACATTAAACTGCAGCCTCATCACAAGAGGAGGATAGGAAAAAAGAAAGAGGGGGAGGGAATCAAATTGGCTCCAAGCCAAAGGCCAGGCGGAACAACTCTGTCTTACAGGCCCTGCGGAAAGAAATCAGATCCCGCAGGGCCCTGGTCTCATGAGGCAGAGCGTTCCACCAGGCCAGAGCCAGTAATAATAATAACAATAATAATAATAATAATAATAATAATAATAATAATTTATTATTTGAAAAGGCCCTGGCTCTGGCCAAGGATGGCCCAAGAAGAGACTGACCGTAACCCTGGAAAAGCCAGTCAAACGTGGCTTGCTTTCCACGGCCACCGAACTCTTCCGCCTGGTCCACCAGGGCCTCCTTCACGGCATCGTATCCACACAAGACCACAACACGGCGGGGCCCTAAGTGGATGGTGAAGACAGGACCATATTTCTCACGGATCTGTGGAAAGAGGAGGAGGGCATTGTGTGAGGTGATGGAACAGATGGAGAGATGGAGCAAATACATAGACTAGTTTTTAGGAAGACAAGGAAGCTTGTTGTTGTTTAGTCGTGTCCGCCTCTTCGTGACCCCATGGACCAGAGCACACCAGGCACTCCTGTCTTCCACTGCCTCCTGGCCAGTCTTTTGAAATGAGGCAATCTTACTCTGTGATGTATCTTCCCTTAGACAGAAGTCCACTTACTGGCTCATTGTTCCCTTTCCTTGAGGTACCTTGATCCAGGGAGCTCAGTCTGCTCAGCCTTTCCTGCCTTCCTGACATATCTTGCCCCCTCTTTCACCAACACATGATAGCCAGCGTTTTTGAATTCTGGTGCTGGAGGAGACTCTTGAGAGTCCTATGGACTGCAAGAAGATCAAACCTCTCCATTCTGAAGGAAATCAGCCCCGAGTGCTCACTGGAAGGACAGATCCTGAAGCTGAGGCTCCAAGACTTTGGCCACCTCATGAGAAGAGAAGACTCTGATGTTGGGAAAGCTGGAGGGCCCAAGGAGAAGGGGACGACAGAGGACGAGATGGTGGGACAGTGTTCTCGAAACTACCAGCATGAGTTTGACCAAACTGCGTGAGGCAGTGGAAGACAGGAGTGCCTGGCGTGCTCTGGTCCAGGGGGCCACGAAGAGGCGGACACGACTAAACGACTAAACAACAACAATCTATGCTTGATGAGCCGCTTGAGACACAAGAAGTGAACCTTCTCATGCCTAAACAAAAGAATATTCCTTCCAGTAGCACCTTAAAGACCAACTAAGTTAGTTCTTGGTATGAGCTTTCGTGTGCATGCACACGAAAGCTCATACCAAGAACTAACTTAGTTGGTCTTTAAGGTGCTACTGGAAGGAATATTTTTTTGTTTTGACTATGGCAGACCAACACGGCTACCTATCTGTAACTTCTCACGCCTGGCTGAGGAATGTGCACTTGTAGCGTTCCTGCACTGCAGGGGTTGGGCTACGTGACCTCTGGGGTCCCCTCCTTCCACATTTTCAGGCTTCCAGGTCCCCGAGTGGCTTGCAAAACTATTGAGGGCACTTGGCCAGAAGATGAGAGGGAAGGCGGCTGGATGGACGGACAGGCGTCCAGAGACTTACCTTCATCAGCGACTGATACATGTCCTTTGTGTTGACTTGCAGCAGGTTCCCAATGAAGGGCAGCGGAGTCGGTCCAGGCGGCAGCTTCTCTCTCTTCTTCCATGCTGAGAGGAACAGCAAGCAGAAGAGAAAGGAGGCCAACAGGAGGGTCCATGGGCCCAGGAGGTCCATGGGGAGGCTGGATGGCAACCTGCAGGTGAGGAAAAGAGGAAGAGCACTCCTAGCATTGACTTGGGGGGAGGGACTGCTAGGTCTGGGAATATTTCCCTCCCCATCAGGCCCGCAGGGAGGGCGTTGGTTGCTCCTGGGTCTTCTGCAGATTCATTCACTGTGATGGCCTGGGATTCGGACTCGGATGGTGAACCTGAGCCTGCAGAGGATTCCCCGCCTCCAGAACCAGCTGAGCCGGGGCTGGGGCCTGAGCCTGAAGGGTCCTCACCTGTGCTGGATCCTCAGGTGCAGGCACCAGCTGAGTCTGCTCTGGCTCCTGAGGTGATGGAGGACCCACTGCCTGCAGGTGCTCCTCTCTCAGCCCCGTCAGAGGAAGCTGAGGTTGCCTCTGGGTCTGGTAGCCCTCCAGCCTCTCCTGAGCTGCAGAGGCTCAGGGCAGAGAGGTGGAGGGAACTAAGTTCCCTCAGGAGGAGTGCTCGCCTCCAGGCCAGGAGAGGCAAGTCACCAGAGGATCGGGGCCGCCCTACGCCTTGGGGCAGATAAAAGCCAGCCAGCCCAGTCCCAAGTTGCGGGAGCAACATTGTTGGTTGCTAGTTCCTGCCCGAACCCTGTCTTGCTTTCCTGCCTGAGCTCCTGGCCTGCCCTGGCTCCCTGCTTGCAAGCCTGTTCCTGACTTCACCCAGCTCCCTGCCCTGCACCCAGCTTCAGCTATAATAATAATAATAATAATAATTTATTATTTATTCCCCACCCATCTGGCTGAGTTTCCCCAGCCACTCTGGGTGGCTTCCAATCAAATGTTAAAAACAATACAGCATTAAATATTAAAAGCTTCCCTACACAGGGCGTTCTCGTTGCACCTTTGACCACGGACCAGACTTCGACCTCACCTCTGGGGTAACCCATGGGACCAGCACATTCACATTTATATTATCCCTTCCTGCCAATTCCGTTTTTTAAAACATTTAAAGGCTATGTGGCATAGTGGTTAGAGTGTCGGAGAATGAGCTAGAAGAGGTCAAATCGCCACCACTCGGCCACGACGCTCACTGGGTGTGACCTTGGGGGGCCAGTCACAGCCTCTCAGCCCAGCCTACCTCGCAGGAGTGTTGTAAAAGTAAAATGGGGAGGAGGAGAGCCCTGTGTAGCTCCTGGAGGCCTTTAGAGGAAAATGTGATAAGGAAATGTCATAAAGGATAGAGAAAGAAATAACCTTTTTGCTGCAGTCCATTTATGCCCCACACCCAAGCTCTTCCTGAGGTTTCCAGGATGGTTGCCACTTTCTTTAAAATCTCTGGTTGCCAAGCTTTCATAAGGGTAAGGGGTAAAGGGACCCCTGACCATTAGGTCCAGTTGCGGCTGACTCTGGGGTTGTGGCGCTCATCTCGCTTTAGTGGCCGAGGGAGCCGGCATGCAGCTTCCGGGTCATGTGGCCAGCATGACTAAGCCGCTTCTGGCGAACCAGAGCAGTGCACGGAAACACCGTTTACCTTCCCGCCAGAGCGGTATCTATTTATCTACTTGCACTTTGACGTGCTTTCGAACTGCTAGGTTGGCAGGAGCAGGGACCGAGCAACGGGAGCTCACCCTGTTGCGGGGATTCGAACCGCCGACCTTCTGATTGGCAAGTCCTAGGCTCTGTGGTTTAACCCACAGCGCCACCCACGTCCCTCAAGCTTTCATAAAGGTAAAGGTAAAGGTACCCCTGCCTGTACGGGCCAGTCTTGACAGACTCTGGGGTTGTGCGCCCATCTCACTCAAGAGGCCGGGGGCCAGCGCTGTCTGAAGACACTTCCGGGCCACATGGCCAGCGTGACAAGCTGCTCTGGCGAGCCAGCGTGACAAGCTGCTCTGGCGAGCCAGAGCTGCACACGGAAACGCCGTTTACCTTCCCGCTGGTAAGCGGTTGCTATTTATCTACTTGCACCCGGGGGTGCTTTCAAACTGCTAGGTTGGCAGGCGCTGGGACTGAGCAGCGGGAGCGCACCCCGCCGCGGAGATTCGAACCGCCGACCTTTCGATCAGCAAGCCCTAGGCGCTGAGGCTTTTACCCACAGCGCCACCTGCGTCCCTCAAGCTTTCATATCCCCCCCTAAAATGTCCAGGGTGAGGGGTAGGAGAGAGACACAGCTCAATAGGGAAATTGGCATGGACGTATAGCCACGCTGGCCGTTCGGTGTCCAAGCAATTTGTCCCCTGATCCTGGTTAAGATAAAAAATGAGGTCTCCCTCCCATCCACCATGGCTCAAAAGTCTTGCAAACGCCTCTCTGTGCCCCCATCCCTACCTTGGTCAGCCACTCAGTCTGTCCTGCTCTCTTCTCAAACTCCTAGCTGCACACAGGTCCACACCCTTTGCAGCTTCTTACTGAGTTACCCAGAGGGGGGAAGCAGTGGAGGAGGAGGAGGAGGAGGAGAGACCTGGAATTGTCCTTAAACCACACCCACAGTTGCAGCCATGAACCAAGCACCCTTCAAGTGTCCCTATTTTCCAGGGACAGCCCCGGATTTACAGAAGCCAGATTTACAGAAGTCGGGACCATCCCTGGGAAATAGGAACTGGGGTTCTCTATAGCCTTCTTTTTTTTTTTTTAAAGATATTTATTGAAATTTTGAACAGTAAAACAAACTTCACAATCAAAACAAAAAAAAAGAAAGAAAAAACATTATCACAATCAAATAAAAACAGAAAGATGCAATACAAAACATAAAAAAGTAGAAGAAAAAAGACATTAAAAAACCCAGTTTCTTACTTATTGTTTTCATAACCCTCCTTCCTGACTTCCTCACATCTCCCTTTTCTGTGTTCCCTTTTACACAATCGTATTCAGCAGTGCCTTACCCTCTTTCAAATCTTATTCTATGTTATACATTTCAACTATTATGTCTCCAATTTTTCCCTTAATATCATTTTGTTTAAATCTGACATAATGTTATTCTAGCTTTTTCACCCTTATTCTTATAAAACATTTTTTACATATTCCTTTCAACTATGTCACTAATGCCATATTGTCTTTATATCCTGCATCATTTTAGCATTCAAACATTTTGCAATGTTTTTGCAAGTAGTCTTTAAATTTCTTCCAATCCTCTTCCTCTATAGCCTTCAATGAGCCAGATGTATGGGTGTTCCTGGCACCAGAGGAGTACCATTTTCCTGCTTTATCAGCGGGAGATAAATATTTTGAAAGCTTTGTTTGTTTGGCTTGCTAAACTTGTTCCACTCTTTTTTGCATTCTTGTGGCCACCCCTATCTGGAAAAACAACGTGACATGTGACACACTCTTTGCAAACTAGTCTAAATTAATTAGAAAGGCTTCAAGGGCAGGCGAAATTTGGACTTCTGTCCTCTGGTCTCCCCTCCATAAAATATTGAAACCACTTAACACCAAAGTTAAAACAAACTGAAAACTTGAGAGCTGCGGAACGACCAAGATGAGTCTCCTCTTCGCCATTGTGGTGTAGTGGTTAAGAGTGGTGGACTCGTAATCTGGTGAACCGGGTTCGCGTCTCCGCTCCTCCACCTGCAGCTGGTGGGTGACCTTGGGCCAGTCACACTTCTCTGAAGTCTCTCAGCCCCACTCACCTCACAGAGTGTTTGTTGTGGGGGAGGAAGGGAAAAGGAGAATGTTAGCCGCTTTGAGACTCCTTCAGGTAGTGATAAAGCGGGATATCAAATCCAAACTCCTCCTCCTCCTCCTCCTCCTCCTCCTCCTCCTCTTCTTCTTCTTCTTCTTCTTCTTCTTCTTCTTCTTCTTCTTCTTCTTCTTCGCCAGCCGGTAGCCCTGCTTTGCTTTTATTACAAATACAAAGGCAACATCTTTCTCAAGAAAACCTTTCTCTGCAGCCTGGAAGATCTGGAACTAGCCTTGAAAATCAGATAATATGAATATTCTTTACTTGGACTTTGTTATTCTAAACCATGCGGATTGTACTCATTCTGTATGCCTAGCTTTGTTTTTTGCTATTTAATTTTCATCTGCTTTTATAACTGTTCTGTTTTATGTACCTTATAAAATGGGTGTGGGGGGAAAGATAAAAGGAAATCAAATCCCTAATCCAGCCTTCAAAAAAAAAGTTCTCCTGAAAATTCATCAGCCTTTTAGTGCAAATTTCTGCTCACATTGCCTTTTTTTAAATGTACAATTGCCTAATAAGCGCATTTCCTTAATGCAATAAGCCATTTCCCTAATGCAATGCATCTGTGTATGTTATTTTCTCTGTTATAGACCGTTTTATGCATGCTTTGTACTGTCAGGATATGCATCTTGGTACCCTTTACTTGGCTGGGTGGACTTACACTGCAAAATTCAAAGAAGTGCAAATTTCAAAGGAATGGCCGCGATCCAGTTCATGGCTTGTTTCCAAAAGCACATAGCCTCCAATGAAACACATCCCTTGCTTCCCATTTTACTGCTCTTGTCACTTTCAAAGCTATTTCCTTTCGTCACATTTATATTTAAAGGCTTTCAATGCAAAATCCGTTTCCCAACTCCTGTACGCTGCAAATGTCTGGCATAATGGGGACCTGCCTAAGCTAGATGGCTTTCAGGCAAAATTTCTACGATCTCTGCTGCAGGTACTTAACTGCGTCCCCAACTCCATACTTCTGTTAGAAGCTGGTGAATGCCCAATTTCAACTAAAGTGTGGTGGGCTGCCCTAAAACATTGACTCAGGATTTCAGTGTTTGATCTAGGGAAGGGTTTGTACCAACACCTGACCAATGAGGAGTTTGTCAGCAAATGGCAGAAAACCATGGCTAGAAAAGCCACCTCTATTGGTCTGTCACCCCCCCCAAACTTTATTACCTGGGTTCTGAAGGTGCCCTAAAGACGTTAAAGCAAAGATTATGGGACACACAGTGACTTGCGATCTCGATCACACGCAGTTTGTAGTCCACTGGCAGTAGGAGTACAATATGGGCATGTCTTAAAGTTAACACCTTACATTAAAAACCTGACAGTACCAAATTATCAAAGGTTATTCACCAAAGCCAGACTAAACTTCCTTCTGCAGTGTTGGATGGCAGGTTGAGAGGAGTTCCCTACCAGGACAGACTTTGCTCGTGTGCTCAAGACATCGATTCCATAAAACATATTTTGCTGCACTGTGTGAAATACGAGCAAGCCAGGGCTAAACTGATATTACCCTTGCTGGTACCTTTCCCGGGGAAATCAGAGGCTCACTATGTCAGGTTCCTATTGGAAGACTGGACAAACGCTAGAACATTAGCAGTGGCGAAGTTTTTATCGGTGGTCTCAAGAACCAATGATCCCTATCTTAAAGTCTGCTTGTTTAACCTGGAAGTAGGCTGTCTGAATTGTGCATTGCTTTGTAACGATTTCTTGGGTCTCTGGACCGTAATAAAGATTGATTGGTTCGATTTAAAGTTCTGAGTTGTCTCAAGTCACAAGGTAGTCAATTATTGGTAACAGCTGTTGGTTTTCATATAAATTAGTTGGCTTCAGACACCAGAGCCATTGGAGACCAAATCTGCACTACAAAAATGTCTGCAAATGTGACCTAAAGGCTGGCAACATCAACACCACCAAGTGGAAATTCCTTGCAGATGACCTTAATGCCTGGAGACATTAGCAGAGACCAGAGGAGGAATGACCACTGGATGGAGCACAGAGAGAAGAAACGCCCTGGTGCATCTGCAGCAGCACATCTGGATGCCTACATCTGCCCCATCTGCAAGAAAACATGTCTCTCCTGTGCAGATCTCTACAACCACAGCAGGCGCTGTAACTCTCTAATGGTTTGACTTCACCCTCAAAGGTGCCCTCTTCCATTGTCTCCCAAGATAGACGGATGTCAACCAGTTATTGTACATCTGTGGTGGGCAAAGGTTTGTGCATGTTTGGTAAGTAAAAGTTAAAGGGACCCCTGACCATTAGGTCCAGTCGTGGCCGACTCTGGGTTGCAGCGCTCATCTCGCTTTATTGGCCGAGGGAGCCGGCGTACAGCTTCCGGGTCATGACTAAGTAACTATATGTAAATACATAATGCTATTAAATTTCCCTCACCCATATGTAAGAAGGTGTATAAATATTTTTCATGCAATATTCTTTGCTGCATATTCTTTTTTTAACTGCAGGGTGTTATAAGAATTCTAAGGTCTCAAATATAAATTAAATGTTCATAAATGTATGGTGCAAACACATACATAAGTATATAAACCACGTGTCTGAAATAGTCCAGGAGAGCAATCCTGAAGCCATTTTGACTCTCCCAAGTTGACCCTCAAATATTTCTCTGCAAGGAGAAAAGAAATGGGAAAGCCTCCCCACTGTCTTTTGCTTACAAATCCTCTCTTAAGGGCGCACTTGTGTATGAATAATAGGGTGAGCCTGTGACCTGGATTCAGGAACTAAACCATCACAAAAGAATTACCAGGCCACCCAAGGAAAGCAATCAGTGACCATTATCAGGTATCCTGGACAAACATGATTTCTGCTGTAGACTGCCTCCTTCTGTGATGTATAAACGTATGCTGTTTTGGGGGGGTGATCTTGGGCTACAGGGTGGGCAATTTCAAAAGTCTGTATAAGGGCTTGCGCACCATTGTTCTGGGTTCTCTCCTCCCTCCTGCGTGTGGTGAGTGGAGACCATGTTGCAACAGTTCCTTTAATAAAGATCAGGCTTACTAGCCGCTTTGCTTCTCAATATTCTCTGGTTGGTTTCTGTTATTTTCTCCTACTGATAGGGAACTGTTACGAAAAAATCTAGGTGCAAGGCTGCTCAGTCACCCAGCTCGTTGGGCAGAGCCCGCGGGTCCCTGCGGAATAAAGGAAGGAGTCCAGCCAACCGGAGCAAATAGCTGTAGACCAAAGTTTATTGCGCAATAAGTTCAAAGAGCAAATTTGAACCCCGAGGATGGGGTGACAAAGACTTTTTAAACTTTCCCACCATATCCCAGAATACAGTTCGTACAGCATCATTGCTACATCACTGACATGTCACAAAAGGGGAGGGGTTAACCTTGGCAAACATGTCCAGACAAGTCCTTGGTACAAGATTAGCATAAGCAGACATGGCAGGGCAAGACTCAGGTATAAGATTAGCATAGACAAATATGTCTTAAGTACCCACCACCAAAAAGTACAATAGAAGTTCCTTTGCATGTCTGGAGCCTGAGGCAAGTCAGGTGATGAGATTTGGCTTCCTTTGGCTAACAATGAACCCAGCAATTGTCACCTCTGGGAACTTCCTGGAGTCCTTTTTCAAGGGGAAAATAGCTTTGGAATGGAGGAAACTGGGAAAGGAGATGATTTTATATTATTTTTAAAGCTAGGTAACTTCCCTGAGCTGTCAAGTTGAAAGGATACATTCAGGCATAATATTTGTAATATTTAACTTTAAAGATGTGCCCCCTCCCGGTAATTTCCGTAACAGGAACCCACTTAAGGACTCTATTATACGGGCTCTTGGATACCCCATAAGTGGAAACGAGCAGTTGTTGTTTTTCTTATAACAGTTTGGCGAGCCAGCCAGGAGTTTCGGTTGACCGGATTCAGGGGGCGAGGAATTAGATATATCCATTTTTGCAAATGTTTATTTTTTCCAATAAATGTGCAATTCATTGTGGCTGTTTGGAAACCCCTTGTGCTATTCACCCACCCACCCATCCATTCAACCTTTATTGGCATAATTTGTGTTATTACTTTCTTTAGTGGGTTGTGCAAACCAATATTCTAATGACAGGGCAGGGGACACAGGGGATGAGTTCATGGAGCCAAGAGGGAGGTCCTCCAGAAAAGCTTGGCAACCATTGATTTAAAAAGAAATGCAGCCCATCTCATCCTAGCAGGGAAGGGGACTGTGTCCAGGTGAGTTGGGTGCTTGCTCTGCCTGCTGCCCAAAAGGGGTGACCTCAAGGCCTCTGCTGTCTTCCTTTCTTCTGATGGTGCTGCTCCTCCTTGCACAGACAGGCCTTCAAATAGAGGACTGTCCTACATGGCCAATCTCTCAGGAGTGCAGAGGTACTGAGAGAGAAACCAAGATCTTCTTGCGCCGCAACACAGGAAGGGAGAGATCAGTGTTGGCGCCAGGACGCTGACAGCTGGTATTTTGGGGGCACCTTCCCAACGCCCACGGCCGCCGGTGCGAGGCTGATCTGGCTGGGGGGCACAGGGGACTGGAGGGTGAAGGCCTGCAGGATGGTGGTGAAGAAGAGGAACAGCTCCATGCGGGCCAAGCCTTCGCCCATGCAGATACGCTTCCCTGCCAGGAGAAAGAAACCAAAATCTGTTGGGCAGTGTCAAGGGACCCTAACAGGTCAGGAAGAGGAATGGAGACGCAAAGTGCAGTCAGCTTTTATTCACAACAGCAAAAACATAGCAGAGTTCATCTGGGCTAATGTGCCCTAGTTGAAGATGTTGCTGGCCCCTCCTTCCCTCTCTGGTCCTCTCCCTCTGGACTCCTCCCAAGCAGACGTAAATGGCGCTGAGGGTGAGGGAACCCCCTCTAGGCCTGCAGGCCCCATTGCGCAGCAACGTGCAAGGTTCTTCATGATCTAGGTGTCAGTGGAGGAGGAGAGCTAGCTGGAGGACTGTCTGGCTGCTGTGCCGAATGCTACCCGATTAAGGCGATAAAAAACTCAGTGGGTTCAAGATGTAGTGGGAACAATTACTGATAGACACCGATAGCTTACGGCATATAGACAGTAAAAGAAAGTCTTAAGTAGCTGTTGCCTGCAAGGTTGGTCTAGAAGATTCAAGGTGTCTTTGTGTGCTATTATAGGTAAAATGTAAAGGACCCCCCGAACGGTTAAGTCCAGTCAAAGGCAACTATGGGGTTGCGGCGCTCATCTCGCTTTCAGGCCGAGAGAGCTGGCGTTTGTCCACAGACAACTTTCCGGGTCATGTGGCCAGTAGGACTAAACCTCTTCTGGTGCAACAGGACACCGTGACAGAAACCATCCTCTGATGTAAAGAGTGTACAATTTTTTAAAAAATTAAAAATTAAAACTTCAAAAAAAGGGGGGGCACCGTTTACCTTCCCACCGGAGTGGTACCTATTTATCTACTTGCATTGTTGTGCTTTTGAACTGCTAGGTTGGCAGGAGCTGGGACCGAGCAACGGGAGCTCACCCTGCTGCGGGGATTCAAACTGCCGACCTTCTGGTCAGCAAGCCCAAGAGGCTTAGTGATTTATACCACAGCGCCACCCGCGTCCCTTATGCTATTATAACATACATTTAAACAGTACCTCCTCCATGAAAGGTCCAGAGGGTTGCAACATGGGAACAGGCCTTTTCTGCAGTGGCTCCCCGTTTGTGGGATGCTTATAAATTATAAATCTTTAGGTGCCAGGCATAATTGTTCCTCTTTAAACATGCCTTTGGTCTCTAACTATCTGTGGCCCCTTGCAGTGAGTGGGGTGTTTGCAATGTATTCTTTCAATGGGGTGTGCAGCAACAGCTTGTTAAGTGGTCAACCCAGCCCCTCTCCCACACTGTCCTTGGCAGGTATAATGCAGGAGAGCTCTGCAGGGTTAGCCCCCCCTAGCCCTGCACCCTGTTCTCCCAGTGGCCCCCAGATGCCTGCGAGAAGCCAAGTCAAGTAGGACGAGAACAGAGGTTCCTTTCTCTGACCCTCCTGAGAAGGACCGTCCTGAAATGAATCTCATAGGAGAGAGACCACCCACCAACGCCACTCCCCACTCCCCTCCCATTGGAATGGAAGGAGCCCCCTCCCCACGTACCTGCTGAGAAAGGCATGAACGCCTCCACCTTCTTGAAGCAGCCTTGGCTATCCAAGAATCTCCCTGGGTCAAACTCTTGAGGGTTGGAGTGCTCTTCTGAGTCATAGTGAACGCTGCTCAGCAAAGGATAGATGTAGGTGCCCTGGGAGAATAGTATTTGTATATATTAAAAAAACATAAGAAGCCCCTGGCTGCTGGATCAGGCCAAAGGGGACCCTTCTGCTCCAGCACCCTGTTCTCACAGTGGCCAAATACCCCCTTAGGAGCCCAGGAGTCTAGACGGACTTGACCTGGAAGTGGGGGCCACTGAGCTCAAATCCTGTCCCCACCCCACCCCATCCTAGGAGTCTCACACCAATTGCTTTGAGGGCCCAAAGGCTGGATCCTGGTCCCTCTGTCCTTGCTGAGGGGCCTGCTGGGAATCTTACCTTGGGAATGACGTATCCCTTGAAGTTGATGTCTTTGGTGGCAGCGTGCGGAAGACTCATGGGCAGGATATCGCTGAACCTCTGGATCTCGTGCAAGACGGCCTCCGTGTAAGGCATTTTGTTCCTGTCCTCAGTAGCTGGGATCCGGTCCCTCCCAATCACTCGATCGATTTCCTCGTGGAGTTTTTCTTGGGGGGAAAGAGAGCGGTTGGGCTGAGATTCCTGCATTAAAGAGGGCTGGAGAAGATGACCTTTTGGATACCTTCCAACTCTGCCGTTTTGTGATTCTATGACCGAGCACCTGTTCACAATCAGGATAGGACTGTTTCCACCACCCAAAAACAGCAACTTAAAATTTTGGGGGAAGGCCTTGATGAGACATTATATGTTGAGTGCCAACTGGCTTCAGTGGCAAGGAGTGCCTTTTGCCATCCATGTCTGGCCCTCCAGCTATGGCCATTTCTGGACTGGGGTAGCCTATTCCCAAGTGCCCCAGTCTCCAACCCCGCTTGCTCTCGGAGCTCTTTTCAAGAGCTTACCGGGGAGCGGGAGAGTCGCTCCAGGCACCCGCAGGAACACCAGGTCCTCGGAACGCTCAATCCGAGATTTTTTTCGGGGTACCACGATGCTCTAGCGGTCTCCCCCAACCTCCAAAGCACCGGTGCCCTTTCAGATGAAAGAGCTCCCGTCCGCCATAAGGGGTGACCAACCGGAAGTCCAGTTATGGCCATTTCTAGACTGGGGTAGCCTGGACACACATCTACATGCCCTGTTAATCTCACATCTTGACTACTGCAGTCAGTTCTAGTTGGGGCTTCCCTTGAGGGTGGAAAATGCCTATAATTTATTTATTTAATTAATTATTTTGCCGCTAGGAACCAAAGGAGGGGAGAGGGCTTAAATCACAGAATCACAGAGTTGTAGAGTTGGAAGGGATCCTGAGGGTCATGTAGTCCAGCCCCCAACTCTTGTGCTCCAGTCCTCTTTGCAGGTTTCCCACTGAGCCGCTGTGAAAAGAGGAAGCTGGAATAGACGGGCCCCCTTTGGCTTGACCCAGCAGAGACCTATAAAGGCCTTTTCAGAAAGACAGAATGACAGACCAGTGTGAAGATGTTGAGCTTTCTCAAATATATAAACAATCCACACGCCCCCTCTGTGGGGACATGAGCCCTTAGGGTCTATGCTGCTGCCTTCCATCGTCAACTTGTTCTGTCCCTGTAGCAATTCATGTGTCTCACTTGTTGGAGGGAGGTTTCTTCCTTCTGCCCGCACCTTGAATCTGTGGGTACTCCCAACAACTTTGTCCACCTCTGGTCCCTACCCAACACTCTTCTCTCACCTGTGGTTCCTAGAAGCTGTCAGCATGCGACAGTGGACACACCCTGGGAACAGCCTTGTCTGTAGCTGTAGAAGTTGATTCTCATAGGTTTCCTTCTTCTGCCCTCACCTTGAATCTGTGGGTACTTCAGCATGGTGAGGAATCCATATCTCAGGGTGGTGCCGATCGTCTCCGTCCCAGCGAAGAACAAGTTGAAGGTGGTCATGACCAAATTCTCCATGCAAAATTCAGAAGCCGGATTATTCTTTTCCTGCCAAGAGATCGAGGTCAGCTATGATGCCTGCATTGAAGGGGGGTCAGACTAGATGACCCTTGGGGTCCCTTCCAATTCCACAATTCTCTGAAACCTGCAGACAGCACGTTTTAGGGGGGGCAGATGATGGAGATGAGGAAGTTCATTCCTTACCTGATCCATCTTAACTAAGAAGCAGTCAATGTAGTTGTGGGGGTCAGAGGGATCCAGCGAGGCCTGCTGCATCTTGATCCTCTCCTCTATGAAGCGGATGATCCCCTGGGAACATTTGCTGGCCGCGTGGTGGGATCCGGGGATCTTCTCCATGATCTCCGGGAAAATATTGTACAGCTGCGGGGGAAGAAGATGGGGAGCAATGGAAGGGCGTTACCACATTTGGCTGACCTTAGGTTGTGCCTCTTGCAAACTCAGATTCCACAAAAAGGCAAGTGTTGAGGCTCACGCCTTCTTGGAAACCTTGACTCTTTAAAAATAAATAAATGACCTTAACAGATTGGAGAACTGGATGCAAGCTAACAAAATGATTCTCAATAGGGACAGATGTAAGGTTCTGCACTTAAGCAGGAAGAACCAGGTGCACATCTGGTTTACTAGCAGTACATGTGAAAAGGATCTAGGCGTCTTGGTGGACCCCAAGCTGAACATGAGTCAACACTGAGATGCAGCAGCAAAAAAATGCTAATGCTATTCTAGGCTGCATCAACAGAAGTCTAGTGTCCAAATCAAGGGAAGTAATAGTCCCACTCTCTTCTGCCTTAGTCAGACCATACTTGGAATGTTGTGTCCAATTAAGGGTAATACAATTTATGTTGTCAAGCTGGAAGGTGTGTAGAGGAGGGCAACCAAGATGATCAAGGGTCAGGAAGACAAGCCTTATGAGGAACGGTTGAAGGAGCTGGGTATGTCTAGCCTGGAAAAGAGAAGACTGAGAGGAGATACGAGAGCCATCATCAAATATCTGAAGGGTTGTCACATGGAAGAAGGAGCAAGCTTGTTTTCTCCTGTTCTGGAGGGTAGGACTCGAACCCATGGCTTCAAGTCACAAGAAAGGAGATTCCGACTAAACATTCGGGGGGGGGGACTTTCTGACACTAAGAGCTGTTCAGCAGTGAAAAGATTGGAAGAAATTTAAAGACTATTGTCAGGGGCTCAACTATTTACAGAAATACTGCAAAATTAATGAATGTTAGAATGATGTTGGATTGAAGTAAAGTGGTTTTCAGCAGTAATGTTATAAAGATGTGTAAAAATGGATTGTTAACGGGGGATAATCTAAAGTTATAATATATTAAGATTAAAGATTAGGATAAAAACAAAGAGGGAAAGGATTTGCTGAACCAACTAATTGAACTGGATACAAAAAAGGGAGGTGTGAGGAGGTCCGGGGAACAGGCAAACGAAAAATAAGAAAAAAAAGACTGAACTGTTTTTAACTGTTTTTATTTTGTATTTTTTCTTTTTCTTTTTTCTTTTTGTAATACTTTGAAAATCTTAATAAAAAATTTTTTTAAAAAAAGCAGTGGAACATATTCCCATGAGAGGCGGTGAACTCTCCTTTCTTGGAGGTTTTAAAGCAGAAGTAGGATGGCCACCTGTCATGAATGCTTTAGCTGGGATTCCTGCAATGCAGGGGTTGGACTAGATGACCCTTGGGTCCCTTCCAGCTCTAAGATTCTTTGATTCTGTGACACTATGGAGGAACCCGTTTGGCTAAAAGATCTTATTTGACTCAATGCTTACCTTCCAAACCTTACTGAAAGACACTGAAATAATTAGAGACCTTAACAGAAAATGCAAACCATCGCTTTTGTTTTCATATGTTATTTTGTTAGTTTCTGTTTGCCACTGTGCAGCTGCTTAGAGTCACAAGACTCTGTTTACATTCCAGAGACATTCCAGGCTATTGGAAGTCTCACGGGAGACAGGAGACGGATGTGACGTTGCTGGTTCCTGTTCCTTTGTTTCAGTTGCTCTCTGCTCTCACAGAGAGAGGATGTGCTTTCTGTCTGCGTAGTAAGAAATAAAGCATAGCGATGTAGCCATAAATCTCATCACTTCCGCGTGCTGCTTTGATTCTCTGCTGAATGGGAATGTGCTTGGAGCCTCATCAAAGGCTCCGGTCGTTAATCACGTCGGAGGGCGATTCCGGAAGATGAGCTTTATCAGCTTGTTCGAACGCAGATTCTGACATATTTATGGTTGGTTTGTTGTTGTATATGAGTGTTTCAAATTGTTGCAATGCAAAATGATCAATAAAGAAAGTAAAAATAATAATGGCGATGATGGCACACACAGGAGTGGAATACTTTTATTGTTTAATAAGTATTCATTTGCAAAGAGAACCGCTGGAACTGGGCTGCCTCTTTGCCCTTTTGCCCTTCCAGACTGTGACACTTTACGGTTTGAATTTTTGATTCTTTGCTTTTTAAAAAAACGCTAGTGATAATAATCAAGGTGTAGAGATATTGGGGGGGGGGGTTCTCCGTCCGCCCTCACCTGAGATGGGGGCAGGCTGCCCACGCGGAACCGTTCTGTGATCAGGTTGTTCAAAGTGAGGAATTTCTCGTCGTCGTACTGGAACCTGTTCCCAAAGACGATGGAGCAGATGATGTTGGAGACAGCTCGGCTGAGGATGAAGGTGGGGTCAAAGGGTGTCCCTAGTGGGGAGAGACAGAAGGCAGGAGGGAAGAAAAAGTTTGTTTGTTTGTTTGTTTGTTTATATTTTTCATTTTCATTTTCACACTTGAAACTTTAATCCAAATACAAAATACAAATACGGTCCACGCAATTCATGTTGACTTCCCGCCCAACTCCTTCCACGGTTTATTTTGTTAACTTCTTTTCCACTACATATTATAATTTGTAGTCCCCATTTCTTTCTTTCTTTCTTTCTTTTCTTTTTTCTCAATATCTCTAACTGCTGAATTTACTCTTTTACTGTTAACCTTTTAATACGTTCGCAATGAGTTTCCAGTTAATCTACAAAACATTTCCATTCTTCTTCTAATACTTTCGTGTCCTGATTTCTTATCTTATTTCCCAATCATGCCATTTCTATGTTGTTGTTTAGTCATTTAGTCGTGTCCAACACTTCGTGACCCCCTGGACCAGAGCACGCCAGGCACTCCTGTCTTCCACTGCCTCCCACAGTTTGGTCAAACTCATGCTGGTAGCTTCGAGAACACTGTCCCACCATCTCGTCCTCTGTCGCCCCCTTCTCCTTGTGCCCTCCATCTTTCCCAACATCAGGGTCTTTTCCAGGGAGTCTTCTCTTCTCCTGAGGTGGCCAAAGTCTTGGAGCCTCAGCTTCAGGATCTGTCCTTCCAGTGAGCACTCAGGGCTGATTTCCGTCAGAATGGAGAGGTTTGATCTTCTTGCAGTCCATGGGACTCTCAAGAGCACCATAATTCAAAAGCATCAATTCTTCGGTGATCAGTCTTCTTTATGGTCCATCTCCATGGACAAAGACAACAAGCCATTTCTATATATTCTACTAACTTCGTCTGGCCATTCCTCCTTGTTGGTATCATATATATGCCATACAAGCTGCTACAAGAAAGAGTCTGCATTTCGCAAGAGCACAGAATGGCTACGCCAGCCTCTCAAGTGCAGACCAAGCACCACAGAGTCTTTTAGAGGCAACCAATCTTTATCAGGGACGCAGGTGGTGTTGTGGTCTAAACCACTGAGCCTCTTGGGCTTGCCAATCAGAAGGTCGGCAGTTCGAATCCCCACGATGGGGTGAGCTCCCGTTGCTCGGTCTCAGCTCCTGCCCACCTAGCAGTTCAAAAGCACAAAGTGCAAGTAGATAAATAGGTACCACTCCGGCAGGAAGGTAAACGGCGTTTCTGTGCGCTGCTCTGGTTTCGGTGTTCCGTTAGTCCAGAAGCGGCTTAGTCATGCTGGCCACATGACCCAGAAAAACTTTCTGTGGACAAACACTGGCTCCCTCGGGCTGTAAAGCGAGATGAGTACCGCAACCCCAGAGTCATCTGCGACTGGACTTAACTGTCAGGGGTCCTTTACCCTTACCTTTAATCTTTATGACCTACCTTGTGTCTTATGGAACTCCTCTGCCAAGCACTGAGCCTCCTCCTGGATCCGCTCCTCGATGGACCGTTTCCCCATCCCAAAATTCCTCAAGGTGGTGAGGCTGAACCTTCGAAGCTGCCTCCACCGATCGCCGTTGGCAAAGACCACCCCTGGCCAAGCAATATTATTATTGTTTGTTTGTTTGTTTGTTTGTATGTGTGTATGTATGTATGGACCTAAAAGCACCACTGAGCTGTTATTATATAAGTCATTGGTTCCCATTTTTTTTCTGGGGACCACCCCCTTGGTTCCACAAACTCATCCCTATCGCCCTCTCCCCTCCCCTATAATTTATTTGGAATATTTATTTGTTTGTCAGATTTATATATTAGATCTATTGGAATAGCGGTTTGTGCAACCCATTAAGCAACATAATCACACAGTGATATTCAAGGCAGCAGCAATTCATTTCACATTTGTTCAAAACCTGATTAGAAGTGCTTAATACTACGAATTCCACAAAATTGCGGTACTTCATCCAGCAACACCAGTGCCCTAATCCTGCCACCCCTTGTCTCTTAGCACCTTTCCAGGTGATCCCAATAGCCCCCCCCAGTAGACACCACCACCCACTTTAGGGACCCCTGATGTGATCCATCAGCATCTCAAGTTAACATGAACTGCTTGGAAGAGGCCAAGCGATAGAGAAAGCAGTCATTTTCCAGTAAAGGCTGTCTCTTCGACATTCATCATTTTAAACATCAGCCAAGAAACATGTTACAAAAGTGAATATACAAGGGTAAAGTGTGCAAATATTTGTGAAACTTAACATATAAAAATGAGAGACGTGGGTGGCGCTGTGGGTTAAACCACAGAGCCTAGGGCTTGCCGATCAGAAGGTCGGCAGTTCGAATCCCCACGACGGGGTGAGCTCCCGTTGCTCGGTCCCTGCTCCTGCCAACCTAGCAGTTTGAAAGCACGTCATAAGTGCAAGTAGATAAATAGGTACCACTCCGGCAGGAAGGTAAACGGCGTTTCCGTGCGCTGCTCTGGTTCGCCAGAAGCGGCTTAGTCATGCTGGCCACATGACCCGGAAGCTGTACGCCGGCTCCCTCGGCCAATAAAGCGAGATGAGCGCCGCAACCCCAGAGTCAGTCACGACTGGACCTAATGGTCAGGGGTCCCTCTACCTTTACCTTAACATATAAAAATATGATTATTGATTATCAATATTAATCACCTGCCCTTCACTCTAAGGGGAATAAACGTTCATGGTTACCTTCACACACACAAAATTATAATTTTCAAACCTATGTACTATGCCCTCCAACAGGTCAGTAGAGTGATGGAGAAATGGGCTGAGCTGCGCCCCAAGCCCCCTTTCCCCGCAAGGATGGACCCCCTCACCGTGCTCATTGAAATCCTTGGAGAAGGACGGCAGCTGCCCTCTGCCGCTGAAGTCCTCTGCCTGGTCCACCAGGGCTTCCTTCACCGCCTTGTAGCCGCACAAGACCACGACTCGCTGCAGCCCCAGGTAGACGGTGAAGACCGAGCCGTAGGCCTCGCCCAGCTGCCGGGAGAAGAGCGTCAGTCCCTTTTGAAGGAACCTTTCCCTGCCCCCTCAGGTTGGCACAGGTGTGCACAAGTGAGGGGGAGGACCGGGCGGGAAGGGAGCCTCACAAGGATGGGCAAGGGGAGAAATGGGCAGGAGCTCTGGGGGAGAGACAGGAATTGCTCCTCTCCAAAGCCTTCCTACTACGAGGCACTTAGCCAATGCTCCTCAGGATTCAACACACTTCTGCTTTGCTTTAAGGTACATGGGTTCATGGCAAAATTGTCGTGCCCGCATTTCTGTAGGTTTTTTTTAAATAGAAGAAGAAGAGGAGGAGGAGGAGGAGGAGGAGGAGGAGGAGGAGGAGTTTGGATTTGATATCCCGCTTTATCACTACCCAAAGGAGTCTCAAAGCGGCTCACATTCTCCTTTCCCTTCCTCCCCCACAACAAACACTCTGTGAGGTGAGTGGGGCTGAGAGACTTCAGAGAAGTGTAAACAGCGGAAGAAGATTGGAAAAAATTTAAGGACTATCTAAAGAAATATTGTAAAATTAATGAATGTTAAAATGACGCTGGATTAGAAAATATGTGGTTATAAGCGGTAATGGATAAGTTAAAAAGAAAAAGTAAGATTAAAATTAAGTTAAAAATAAGGGAAGGATTTGCTGGAAAATTAATTAGAAATTGGAATACAGAAAGGGGAGGTATGAGGAAGTCGAGAAAGTAAGTTATAAGAAATTAAGGGTTGAATTTATATGTGTTTTTATATATATATATATTGTGTTTGTCATTTTTATTGGATTGTTTTGTTTTGTTTTTGTTGTTATAAAAAAAAATTTGAAACCCTAATAAAAAATGTTATTAAAAAAAAGAGAGACTTCAGAGAAATGTGACTGGCCCAAGGTCACCCAGCAGAAGCGGGGAAGCAAACCCGGTTCACCAGATTACGAGACTACCGCTCTTAACCACTACACCACACTGGCTCTTTCACCTTTCAGATCAAAGGTGTGGTTATTGTAAGAGTTTCTGCCTGCTTAAATTGTAGGGTTTTGTGTCTGTGCGTGTGTGTGTGTGTGTGTGTGTGTGTGTGTGTGTGTGAAGCAGCATTTATATATTCTATCATTTCTATTTCACATAGCAAACCAAGTTTTCTGTATTCCTTTGGTGTGAGATGTTTTCGTGGGCGTAGGTTTAAGGGTCAACACACATTCAAAGATCAGCGTCCATTATAACCAGGACCGGATTTAGGTTTGATGAGGCCCTAAGCTCCTGAAGGTAATGTCCAGCTGTCCTTTGTTGTTGCTGTTTTTTGTGTTGAATATATGCTATATGGCAATTTATGGACCTAATAGATATCTAAAACCATTTGCACATAACAGTCCCCACAGAATGTAGGCACCCTATATATAGAAATGAGCAAACCAGTGATATTTTAGGAGCAGGCTAGCAGGCCGGGCCCATGACTTACATCACAGGAGCCTACACAACACAAAACACCGTTGCTGTATGTAGGTTTTGTTTCATTTGTTGTTTATCTTACATTTTGGAAATGTACATCAGGTGTTGTTTTTTCTTTAAATTTTTTGGGCACCCCAAGAGAGTGGGGCCCTAAGCTATAGCTTGTTTAGCTTATACCTAAATCCGGCACTGATTATAACATCAGCAAAATATCCTAAATTTCTCAGCAGTGGGTATATGAGCTTGCATGAATACTGGCTGAGAACATCTGAGTCCAGACCTGAGTCCATACACTTGTAACAGACCTGTGGATATCAGGTTTTAGGAGACAATAGTGGGGAGGCTATTGCCTTCAGGACCTGCCTGAGGGCTTCCCAGAGGCCCCTGCCTGTTCACTGTGGTGGGCTAGAGGAACCCCCTTTGGACAGATCCAGCAAGTCTCTTCTGATGCTCTTGCACACCTACAAAGATGGATCCCCAATCTGCTCATAGGCTTCCAATCTCCTCTGGCTTACCTTGCAGCTCGGTAGGGAGGCGAATGGAGACTCACCTTCTCCAGGGATCTGAGCATGTTGTTTGGGTCCAGTTGGAGAAAATTCCCCAGGATGGGGAGCGGGGTGGGTCCAGGGGGCAGACGGCCTTTGCCGCCTTTGCCCTTCCATCCCAAGCCCAGGAATAAGACGCCACAGACACAAAGGAGCAGGAAGAGAGACCCAGAGAGCAGCTCCATGGAGGACCCTGCCCAAGAGATGCCCCCTCTGGACTACGGGGAGGTGCTGAGAGCCACAGCTGGACTTATAAGGGCGGCTGGGGAAAACCCAACTTTCCACATTGGTTATTCAGTAACCCCTTATCGTCCGACCCATTTCCAAGCCAGCTGGGTGGACTTTGCCATTCCCGGTCAGGAAGTTAATTCGTTAACTTACCAAGGATTACATGATAACCATAAAAAGGGCATTTCATCGCAAATGTTGGACAGGGTACTGGGGACAAATCAGAGAGTGGCTCATTAAGGTGGAGGGTGAATTGCTGATCGCCAAAGAATTGATGCTTTTGAATTATGGTGCTGGAGGAGACTCTTGAGAGTCCCATGGACTGCAAGAAGATCAAACCTATCCATTCTGAAGGAAATCAGCCCTGAGTGCTCACTGGAAGGACAGATCCTGAAGATGAGACTCCAAGACATTGGCCATGAGAAGAGAAGACTCACTGGAAAAGACCCTGATGCTGGGAAAGATAGAGGGCACAAGGAGAAGGGGACGGCAGAGACAAGATGGTGGGACAGTGTTCTCGAAGAGACCAGCATGAGTTTGACCCAACTGCAGGAGGCAATGGAAGACAGGAGTGCCTGGCGTGCTCTGGTCCAGGGGGTCACGAAGAGGCGGACATGATTAAACGACTAAACAACAAAAAATACATGTTTATATTTTGCGGAGCAGGGCAAATCGGCAACCCCATTTAAAGAACAACTGCGGAGGCTTGCAAGAAAATGTTTTGGAGTTTCCTCCACCTGCCTTTGGGATGTGGGTGGCACTGTGAGTTAAACCACAGAGCCTAGGACTTGCCGATCAGAAGGTCGGCGGTTTGAATCCCCGCGACGGGGTGAGCTCCCATTGCTCGGTCCCAGCTCCTGCCAACCTAGCAGTTCGAAAGCATGTCAAAGTGCAAGTAGATAAATAGGTACCGCTCTGGTGGGAAGGTAAACGGCGTTTCCGTGCGCTGCTCTGGTTTGCCAGAAGCGGCTTAGTCATGCTGGCCACATGACCCGGAAGCTGTACGCCGGCTCCCTCGGCCAATAAAGCGAGATGAGCGCCGCAACCCCAAAGTCGGTCACGACTGGACCTAATGGTCAGGGGTCCCTTTACCTTTACCTTTACCACCTGCCTTTCCAGGCTCACATCTGCACCATGCATCTTAAGTGCTATGTTTCCACTTTAAACGGCCATGGCTTCCCCCAGAGACTCATGGGAAGTGTAGTCTGTTTCAATGCACAGAGAGGTGTTCAGAGACCCTCCCTATTCGCCTCCCAGAGTTACAGTTCCCTGAGAAGAGGAACTCTGTTTATTTCCTACAAATTCCTGTTTGTTTGCTGTGTCCCTCAGTGGTTATAGTGTCAGACTAGAACCTGGAAAAGACCAGGGTTCAAATTTTCCCCCACCTCAGCTGTGAAGCTCATTTGGGTGCCCTTGGGCTAGTCAGTCACTCTCAGCCTAACCCACCTCGCAAGGTTGTTGTTGTGGAGATTAAATAGGGAGGGAAATAACTATGTGCGTTGCCTTTTTCAAAATTACTATTTTTATAGAGGGAATTTCAATTATAAGGGGGGGAGTGTTACAAAGGGGGGAGGGGAAAGTGAGGGGGGAGAACAAAGATGTTTATAAGAAAGAGGGAGGGGAAAAAGAGAATATACAAAAATGCTATGTAATATACTCCACCTTGGGCTCCTTGGAGGAAAAGAGGGAATAAATATGTTATAAGAAAAAACTGCTCCTTTATCCCTTATGGGGTATCCAAGAGCCATATAGAGTCCTTATGTAGGTTCTCTATCGGTAGGAGAAAATAACAGAGGCCAACCAGAGAATATTGAGAAGCAAAGCAGCTAGGAAGCATGAGCTTTATTAAACTGTTGCAACAGGGTGCTCACACACACACACACACACACACACACACACACACGGGGAAGGAGGAACCCAGAACAATGGTGTGGAAGCTCTTATATAGACTTTTGAAATTGCCTAACCTGTAGCTCGGGACGCGGGTGGCGCTGTGGGTAAAAGCCTCAGCGCCTAGGGCTTGCCGATCGAAAGGTCGGCGGTTCGAATCCCCGTGGCGGGGTGCGCTCCCGTTGCTCGGTCCCAGCGCCTGCCAACCTAGCAGTTCGAAAGCACGTCAAAGTGCAAGTAGATAAATAGGGACCGCTTACTGGCGGGAAGGTAAACGGCGTTTCCGGGTGCTGCGCTGGCTCGCCAGATGCAGCTTGTCACGCTGGCCACATGACCCGGAAGTGTCTGCGGACAGCGCTGGCCCCCGGCCTATAGAGTGAGATGGGCGCACAACCCTAGAGTCTGTCAAGACTGGCCTGTACGGGCAGGGGTACCTTTACCTTTACCTTTACCTAACCTGTAGCTCAAGGCCACCCCCCCAATACATCATACATACATCACAGAAGAGGCAGTCTACCACAGAATCCTGTCTGGCGGGAAACCTGTTAATGGGTTTACCTGGACAGCCTGGCCATTCTTTTGTGATGGTAAATACTTAATTCCTGAGTCCAGGTCACAGGCTCGCCCTATTCATACCCAAATGTGCCCTTCAGGCAGGATTTGTGAGCAGAGAGACAATGGGGAGGTTTTTCCCATTTCCATCCAAACTGCAGAGGAATATTTGAGGTCGTTGAAAGAGTCAACATGGCTTTGGGACATGATCCATGCCAAAATAAAAAAATTGATAAGGACATCGCACACAAAAAAGGCAGAGGCATATCTATTAGGAATTCTAGATAAAGATATCCCAAAAGATAAAACTGACTTATTTCTATACGCGACAACAGCAGCAAGAATTTTGATTGCTAGCTATTGGAAAGAAGACAGCATCCCAACAAAAAGAGAATGGTTGGGGAAACTTTGCGAGTACCTGGAATTAGCAAAACTGACGGATATAATAAGGAGAAAATCCAAAACTATAGTTATGAAGCAATGGGAGTGCTTAAATGATTATTTACAAAACCAGGGCTCAACTACAAAAATCTGGTTGTGTTTAGAATAATCTTGTGTGTAATATAAAAAATACAAAGTGAGGCATTAAGGAAATCCAAAGGAAAAATATGAAGAACAGAGGCTCTGATGAACGGAGTGTTAAAAACGTGTGAGGTAAACGGTGGAAGTCTTTTTTTTTCTTTCAAAAATGATCTTTTTCTTTTACTTCTTTATCCTTTCTTTGTTCTTTTTTTCTTTCCCCCCCGATATCTTATCTTTCATTTCACTGCTTTATTGTAAGCAGTATTTTATAGAGGTATAAATAACTGTAAATATGAAAAGAGACAAAACTTTCTCTAATTGTTTTTCCTTGGTTAGATGTTTTTTCTCTTTCTGTTGTATTTTCTTTTGCTGTGAATATGTATGGTTTTTTTTAATTTGTACTTAATAAAATTATTAAACAAAAAAACAACAACATGGCTTTAGGACTGTTTTCCTGTACTGTTTCAGACATGTGGTTTGTTTGTTTGTTTGTTTGTTTGTTTGTTTGTTTGTTTGTTTGTTTGTTTGCCTGGTACATTTATGAACATTTATTTTATATCTTAGACCTTAAAATTCTCATAACAAAATACCTTTCCCGTGTTTTAATCAAAAGGACAGAAACCTCGTGAGAATGACAAAACCAAGTGTCTTGTTTCTTTCCCTAATCCTGAGTTTATCTTTGGCAAATATAGTCTATTGTATAGGTCCAAACCAGTCTTTGTAGCAGAGGCTGCAATTAAAGTTTGCTAGAAACACAAGATTAGTGTACTGATCGTTATGTTAAGCGTTAGAAGGTCAGAAAGTTTTATCAATGCTTTCCAGGCAGGACTGGGAGAGACTCCAGAGCAAACCCACCTTGAGGAATCTGAGACCCTCCCTAGTCACCTCCCAGAGTTACGATTCCAGGGTTCCCTGTGAAAAGCTATAATCCGGGAATTATAGCTCAGTGAGGGGAATGGCAGTGGCAGATTCAGAGCAGTGCAAGCAGTTCTCCTGCACTGGGTGCCGAGCTGATGGGGCACTGTTGTTGTTTAGTCATTTAGTCGTGTCCGACTCTTCGTGACCCCCTGGACCAGAGCACGCCGGGCACTCCTGTCTTCCACTGCCTCCCACAGTTTGGTCAAACTCATGCTGGTCTCTTCGAGAACACTGTCCCACCATCTCGTCCTCTGTCGTCCCCTTCTCCTTGTGCCCTCCATCTTTCCCAACATCAGGGTCTTTTCCAGGGAGTCTTCTCTTCTCCTGAGGTGGCCAAAGTCTTGGAGCCTCAGCTTCAGGATCTGTCCTTCCAGTGAGCACTCAGGGCTGATTTCCTTCAGAATGGAGAGGTTTGATCTTCTTGCAGTCCGTGGCACTCTCCAGAGTCTCCTCCAGCACCATAATTCAAAAGCATCAATTCTTTGGCGATCAGCCTTCTTTATGGTCCAGCTCTCACTTCCATGCATCACTACTGGGAAAACCATAGCTTTTACTATACAGACCTTTGTTGGCAAGGTGATGTCTCTACTTTTTAAGATGCTGTCTAGGTGTCATACCTATGATATACTGAATTGAACAGAATGAAAAAGCGAGAGGTGGGAGTGCGTGCCAAATTTTGGCCTCACACATGGTGTTTGTTTTTGTTTGTTTGCCCCTGAAAATGGGGATGGCCTCCTAACAACTATCAGCCCATATCCACGAAATGATAGACAAGAGGGGCAGCAAGCTCAGTGACCGCCCCGGGCGGCAGAAACCCCAGTTATGTCACTGACCAGGGTCCATCTCCGCCAATCTTTGACCAGCCTCGCCTGGGAGCAGAGCCCAGCTGCTCTTCTGGCTGCCAAGGGGCTGGAGGAAGCCAAGTCACATGGAGGGTCAGTGGGAACACAGGCCCAGACATGGCCTGCTAGGACTTCTGCCAGTCCTGCACCCTGCCCAAAGGTCCAAGGAGTTCCAAGGTCCGAGCAGGAGGCAGTCGAAGCCAAGACGCCAGGCCACGATGGCGGAGGCAGCCAGAAAACAAGGAGCAAACAGAAGAAGTCTCTTTGGACCTCTGCCATACTGACCAGCTTTTGAAAACCCAAAACAGGGAGATTTGAGCTCCTGCCCACATACTGAACTCCTGTTGTCTGACTATCCTGTCTCCTTGGACCACAGTATCATAACTACACGAACGACGGCTCTGCAGAATAACTTCTTTATTCTTTTACAGCTACTGCAAACTAAAATAAACTAGAGACTAAATACTATCAGAGGCTACTGGACTGCATGAGTATTACAGTTGCTTAAGCAATCATCTGTGGTGTAGTGGTTAAGAGCGGTAATCTCGTAATCTGGGGAACCGGGTTCGCGTCTCTGCTCCTCCACATGCAGCTGCTGGGTGACCTTGGGCCAGACACACTTCTCTGAAGTCTCTCAGCCCCACTCACCTCACAGAGTGTTTGTTGTGGGGGAGGAAGGGAAAGGAGAATGTGAGCCGCTTTGAGACTCCTTCGGGTAGTGATAAAGCGGGATATCAAATCCAAATCCAAAACTCTACACACAAAGTCAGGCTGGAGGAGAAGAAGCGGAAGAAGTGATGAGCAGATTCCGCCCCCTCCTTTCTGAAAACATTGTCAGCAGATTATTGCAATGGGAGGGGTGAAATATCCACATCAAGCCCATCCCAAATATTGATCCACGGACATTGAAGACATATTCCTACATTTACAAAGAAGAGGGCTATCAATTGCTGCCAGCAACAACGGCTAAGCTCTGCCTTCATGGTTGAAGGCAGTAATGTTTCTGTTGCTGGAAACCACAGGAGGGAAGAGCTTGTTCTTCCACTCAATTCCTGATTGTAGGTTTCCCATAATAGGTCATCTGTTTGGCCACTGTGAGAACAGGATGCCAGACTAAATTAAACAGCTTTGGCCTGACCCAACAGGCAGGCTCTTCTTACGTTGCTATGCTAACTCCCACAAAGATTCCCTTTGCAAATAACATAGGCATATAAAAATAAAGGTATTCTCTGTTGAGTTCCATCATTATTGAGAAAGCCACTTCTCCTACCTAGGCAGTTATCTTTCCACAACGGTCAACGTTGATGCCGAAATTCAGCATCGCCTGAGCTCTGCAAGTGCGGCTTTCTCCCGATTGAAGTGCAGAGTATTTGAGGACCGGGACATTCATAGGGAACCAAAATGCTTGTTTACAAAGCTATTGTACTACCAACCTTACTGTATGCTTGTGAAGCATGGACCACTTACAAATGCCATCTCCAACTTCTCAAAAGATTCCATCAATGGTGTCTCCAAAAAATCTTACACATCACTTGAGAAGGCAGATGAACTAATATCAATGTACTGGATGAAGCAAAGATCACCAGTGTTGAAGCAATGATTCTTCAACATCAACTTCGTTGGACTGGTCATGTTGTGCGGATGCCTGATTTCGTCTTCCAAAGCAACTTCTCTATTCCAAACTTAAAAATGGAAAGCATAATGCTGGCGGTCAACAAAAGAGGTTTAAAGACTGTCTCACGGCAAATCTTTAAAAATGTAGTATAAACACCGACAACTGGGAAACACTGGCCTGCAAGCGCTCCAGTTGGAGAACAGCCTTTACCAAAGGTGTCCTGGGCTTTGAAGACACTCGAACTCAGGACACAAGGGAGAAATGTGCTAAGAGGAAGGCACGCTTGGCAAATCCACACTGTGATCAAATCCCTCCCAAGAACCAATGTCTCCACCGTGGAAGGATGTGTGGATCCAGAATTGGCCTCCACAGTCATTTACGGACTCATTGTTAAAACCGTGTTTATGGAAGACAATCTTACTTGGCTACGAGTGATTGAAGAAGAAGAAGAAGTGTATCCCCCACTTTCTTAATTTGGAGTCCCCTCCAAAAAGGGGGCATCATATACATGGGGGCGTGTTATACACGGAAAAATATGGTACATGGCAGCATAGGCCATTGGCTGGGCAGTGCCTTGAAGGAATAAACATTTCTGAAATCGTGATACATAGAGCCTTCTGAAAGCGAATGTGAAGGGGAAAGTCTGGCGTATTTCTCCATCCTTGAGCAATGGTCAACCTATCCACAGCCAACAAATCTAGAAAAAGAGTTTTACAAACTAGTTCTACATTGTAAGCTTTGAATATTTATGATAAACAGAACAAGACATCAAGATTCACTGGTGTGCAACTTGTCTCCAAAACATGAATATTTTTGATGATACCAATGTAGACACATTGCCAAGGGAATTGATCTAATATATGATCTTGGCAGCTTGAATAGTCATTGCAAAATCTTACACTGGGCGCTTGGCAACGCTCAGTGTGGAATATAGCGATAATGAAGAAAGCTGTGAATCATTTGAGAGTTTGACAAGGCTCTTCATATGACTTGGCATTTCTTTATTACATATACAAAGGATGCCTCTTTCTCAAGATACCCCTTCTCCCCAGCCCGGCAGATCTGGAACTAGCCTTGAAAGTCAGTCTTTTTTGCTTGGACTTTGTTATGCTGACCCATGTGCCTCTCTTAAAATTTTGTTTTTCATCTTTTCATTCCCATCTCCTGTTACAACTGTTCTCTGTGTTTTATGTACATTATAAAATGATTTTTTTAAAAAAGGAATTCAAATCCCTAATCCAGTCTTCCACAGCCTGGTGCCCTCCATATCGGTTTCCTGAAAATTCATCAACCATTTAGTACAAATTTCTCCTAACATTGCCCTTTTTCATATGCACAATTGCCTAAGAAGCACATTTTTGCAAAGCATTTTATGGCTATGTAATGCCTCTGTGTATGATATTTTCACTATTATAGACCTTTTTATGCATGCTTTACCATCCCAGGATATGCATGTTGGTACCCTTTACTTGGCTCGGGGATTTACACTGCAACATTCAGAGAAGTGCACATTTCAAAAGATGGCCACAATCCAGTTCATGTCTTGTTTCCAAAAGTGCAGCGCCTCCAGCGTAACACACTCCTCGCTTTTTATTTAATGTTTTACTGCGTTTGTCAGCTTCAAAGCTACCGTATTTTTCGCCCTATAGGACGCACCGGCCCATAGGACGCACCTAGTTTTTTAGGGGGGAAATCAAGGGGGGGAATTATTATTATTTTTTCCCAGGTTTGCGCAGCCATCCCCAAGCTAGAAGAGGGAGACGGAGCGCTCCGTCTCCATCTTCTGCTTTCCGGGACAGCCTCTATAGCCTCCATGGGGCAGCGGCTTGCCCCGCTGTCCCCCAAGTTTGTGGGGCTGGCGGGGGGGAGAAGCAAGCTAGCTTCTCCCCCCCCCCCCCGCCGCCAGCCTCCAGATCAGGTCAGGGAATAACGGGGTGACGCCGCGGCGCCTCCCCGCTGTCCCCCGAGCTTGTGGGCTGCAGGCTGCTGCCCGCAAGCCTTGCGAGCCCGCGGGACCTCCCGCTGGGCTTGCAAGACTTGCAGATAGCTTCCTGAAGCCTGGAGAGTGAGAGGGGTCAGTGCGTAGGATTCAGCGAAAGCCTGCATTCGCCCCATAGGACGCACACACATTTCCCCTTCATTTTTGGAGGGGAAAAAGTGCGTCCTATAGGGTGAAAAATACGGTATTTATTTTGGTCACATTTGTATTTACACTTCTGAGTTGCCTCAAGTCACAAGACAGCCAATTGTTGGTAATAGCTATTGGTTTTCATATAGTTACTGTATTTCTGTCCAGTGCTTTTCCCCCTAGAAAAATAGGGGCGAGTACTCATCATGAAGTTGTTACAGTAAATGTCACACTTTTCCATAAAAAAAGAGGAGCTGGTAATGAGTACTCTTGAATGACGGTGGGATCAAAGTGCGTCCCTAGTGGGGAGAGACAGAAGGCAGGAGGAGGGAAGGAAAGGTCTGTCTTTGGCAAGAGCACACAATGGCTACGCTTGTGGACCAAGCACCACAGAGTCTTCTAGAGGCGACCAATCCTTTAATTATGAACTTCTCCAGAGGCCTCCCTTGCAACTTACGGAACTCCTCTGCCAGGCACCAGGCCTCCTCCTGGATCCGCTCCTCGATGGACCGTTTCCCCATCCCGAAATTCCTCAAGGTGGTGAGGCTGAACCTGCGAAGCTGCCTCCACCGATCGCCGTTGGAAAAGGTCACCCCTGGCCAAGCAATATTATGATTATTGCGATATTTTTGTGTATATCCCCCCTTCTTCCTTGACAGGGACTCGGGACAATTTGCAGACAAAATAGGAACAGGTGGAGTGGGACAATAATTTAAAAAACCAATTAAACATGAATATAATGTAATCTATTAAAAACATACATAAATTACAATAACAACAACACGACACCAGCTCTTTCCTTGAGAGAACCCAAAGGTCTGTTGGAATAAGAAGGTTTTCACTTGCCAGTGGGAAGACAGCAAGGAGGGATGCAATCTAACTTCTCTTGGAAGGGAGTTCCAAAGTTCCAATGAGAGGAGCAGGAGGATGAGAAGGGAATACTGACACTGGATTGGAGACCCCAAAGCACTACTGAGCTGCTAAATATATAAGCTAGTCTTTTCCAAACTTTTAATAAAATCTATTCAGAGAGAGAGAGAATAATAATTTTCCAGTACAGATTGTCTCTTTGATACTCCTCCTTTTAAAACTTGGCCAATTCATGTGTTATGTTTCCCAGGGACATCTCCTACAACCTCCCATTTCCTGACCTCCAGTTTGCTGCATAAATTTCTCCTAACCTTTCTACTGCTGAGATAAACAATACCCTTCACAGCCACTGTTTATGTGCCAGTCGAATGTTGCCAAGTACATTGCTTTCAAGAAGAAACCAGGGTGGATAAATCAGCCTTTGCCAACCTGGTGACCTCCAGCTGTTTGGGGGGATGAGAACTTGCATCTCTCCCAGCAACATCTGGCCCAGTTGGCTGGGGGGGGTCAATTCAGCTTGCATTTACGAGATGTGCCAAGAACTGGAACACAGCTGCGAATCCATGTGTCTCTGAATTTTGCAATGCAGTTCTTCAGCCACGTCAAGTGCCGCAAAAAAAAGCATGCATAAGAATTGAGCGGATTGACAAACAGGACCAATGGTCAAGAAGGCGGTTACTGCATGTGCTGTAGAAAGAAGTGAGGGGCAGGTGGGGCTCATCCACTGGGAAGGGAGCCCATCAAGGAGAAGGAAAACCCTTGTCCTAAAACCCTGCTGCCTTGCAGGATATCTTCAGGAGAAGTCAAGGCAAAGGATTAAACCCTCCACAAATCCCTAAGGTGATTGGATGGTTCCTTGTACGCCTCCTTCTGGCAACTCCTGCAGCCAAGCTGGTGCCAAACGTCTTCCTCTGCTTTCCTTTGGACCACATCAGTGGGACCAAGAGGGGTCTCGTCCTCTGGGGAGCCCAGGACTCCCATGCACACTGCCCAGCCTTCCGCCCTGGAAAGGTCACTTTGGTGCTGCCAACACAATGGTTTGCCTTCACCCCAAAAGGACACTCCATTGTCTCTAGAGACAGACAGATGCCAATATCTAAACATTAATTACCCACCCTTTACCCTAAGGTCCCAGGGTATGGGTTGGGGTTGCAACATTAAAGCACAAGGTTAAAAACAGCTTACGGTAACTTGCAGTCAAAGAAATAAGGTGGGTATAAGGTGTTTTTTGGGGGGGATTGCTTTGCAATGTTGTACATATTAAGAAATATGGGCATGTTAGGAGAATCCTGGACTCAAATGTGGATGAATAATTCACAAACCAATGTGGGTATGTGGGGAACTGAAATCAAGACTGGGGAAGATGAGAAACTGATAAAACCAAAATTGACAGATCATAGAATTGTAGACATCCAACCTCTGCCTGAAAACCTTCACGGAAGGAGAGTTCACAACCTCTGGGGGGAGACCGTTCCACTGTCTAACAGCTTTTCCCATCAGTTAGTTCTTCCTAATGTTTAGTCAGAATCACCTTTCTTGTAACTTGAAGCCATGGGTTCGAGTCCTATTGGCCCATCCCTAGCTGGCGCTGATTGGAATTGTAATTCAAACCAGATGGAGGGCACCAGGTTGGCACTCTACCCTCCAACATGTCAGATGAGTGACAGAAAGATGGGCTGAGCTGTGCCCCAAGCCCCCTTTCCCCACAGGGATGGACCTCTCACCGTGATCATTGAAATCCTTGGAGAAGGACGGTATCTGCCCTATCGCATTGAAGTCCTCTGCCTGGTCCACCAGGGCCTCCTTCACCACATTGTAGCTGCTCAAGACCACGACTCGCTGCAGCCCCAGGTAGACGGTGAAGACCGAGCCATAGGCCTCGCCCAGCTGCCGGGAGAAGAGCCTCAGGTTGGCCCAGGTGTGGACAGGTGAGAGGATAACTGGACAGGGAGCCCAGTGAGGAGCTTCCCCAGCCACTCTGGGCGGCTTCCAACAAAATATAATATTGGGCTAGTCAGTCTTGGGCAGGTCATGTGACTGGCTGGGAAGATGTGTGTCCAGGTTTCCAGAGTCAACATGTTGGAGGGGATGTGACTGAGACCCTAAGACTTCTGTTGACACAGCCTGGAAATCCATCAACTACTTTTGCTATTGCATTGCACTGTTGACTCATGTTCAGACCTGATCTTTTTCACCTGCACTGCTGGCAGATCAGGGGTTGCCCTTGCTATATCTGTGCATCTGGTGACTCCTGCCTGAATTCCTAAGTCCTTGATGACTAGGGAATCGCCCCTGGCTTCTCCCAGTCCTGCTTTATCTTGGTCTGTTTTTGGCCAAGGAGCAAGGCCGCAATTTGGGGAGAGGCTGGCTCAGATTCCTCAAGGTGGGTTAGCTCTGGAGTCTCTCTCAGTCCTGCCTGGAAAGCATTGATAAAAATTTCCTGACCTTCTAATGCTTAACATAACGATCAGGACACTAAGCTTGTGTTTCTAGCAAACTGTAATTATAGCCTCTTCTACGAAGACAGTTTTGGACCTATAAAATAGACTATATTTGGCAAAGATAAACTCAGGATTAGGGAAACAAACAAGACACATGGTTTCGTCATTCTCACAAGGGTCCTGTCCTTTTGCTTAAAACACGGGCAAGGTATTTATTCCCTCTTTTCCTCCAAGGAGCGCAAGGCGGCGTTTTTGTATATTCTCTTTTCTCTCTCTCTCTTTCTTATAAAAATTTTTGTTCTTCCCCTCTCCCCCCCCTTTGTAATGCTTCCCCCCCCCTTATAATTGAAATTCTTTCAATAAAAATAGTAATTTTGAAAAAGGTAGCATACATAGTTGATCGCCGAAGAATTGATGCTTTTGAATTATGGTGCTGGAGGAGACTCTTGAGAGTCCCATGGACTGCAAGAAGATCCAACCTCTCCATTCTGAAGGAAATCAGCCCTGAGTGCTCACTGGAAGGACAGATCCTGAAGCTGAGGCTCCAAGACTTTGGCCACCTCAGGAGAAGAGAAGACTCCCTGGAAAAGACCCTGATGTTGGGAAAGATGGAGGGCACAAGGAGAAGGGGACGACAGAGGACGAGATGGTGGGACAGTGTTCTTGAAGCTACCAGCATGAGTTTGAGGAGGCAGTGGAAGACAGGAGTGCCTGGCGTGCTCTGGTCCCGGGGGTCACGAAGAGTCGGACACGACTAAACGACTAAGCAACAACAACAAAAGCATACATAGTTATTTCCCTCCCTATTTAATCTCCACAACAACAACCTTGCGAGGCGGGTTAGGCTGAGAGTGTCTGACTAGCCCAAGGGTACCCAAATGAGCTTCACAGCTGAGGTGGGGCAAATTTGAACCCTGCTCTTTCCCAGGTTCTAGTCTGACACTATTACCACTGTGGGACACAGCAAACAAACAGGAATTTGTAGGAAATAAACAGAGTTCATCTTCTCAGGGAACTGTAGCTCTGGGAGGCGAATAGGGAGGGTCTCTGAACACCTCTCAGCGCATTGAAACAGACTACACTTCCCATGATTCTCTGGGGGAAGCCATGGCCGTTTAAAGTAGAATCATAGCACTTTAGAGGGATGGTGCGGACGTGAGCCTGGAAAGGCAGGTGGAGGATACCCCCCCCCAGAAATTTACTGGATATCATAGCATTAAAAAAGAAAAGAAAAATACCATTCCAGCCCCAACCTTAACGAACCTCGATCTAATTTGTTTTCCCATGCCCTGACCAATATTTGCAGTGAAACGCCCATTATGTGGCCCTTGATAAATTAGGAAAATTAACTTCCTGATTGGAAATGGGAGAGTCCCCCCAGCTGGCTTGGAAATGGGTTGGAGGACCGGGAGTTACTGGATAACCAATGTGGAGAGCTGGGTGTTCCCCAGCCGCCCTTATAAGTCCAACTGTGGCTCTCAGCACCTCCCCATAGCCCAGAGGGGGCATCTCTTGGCCAGCGTCCTCCATGGAGCTGCTCTCTGGGTCTCTCTTCCTGCTCCTTTGTGTCTGTGGCGTCTTATTCCTGGGCTTGGCATGCAAGGGCAAAGACAGCAAAGGCCGTCTGCCCCCTGGGCCCACCCCGCTCCCCATCCTGGGGAATTTTCTCCAACTGGACCCAAACAACATGCTCAGATCCCTGGAGAAGGTGAGTCTCCATTCGCCTCCCTGCTCTCCTCCTCCAGTGAAGTCCTGACAGTAGACCTAAACTCTCCCTCTGGGAAGACAGCCAAGCCTGCAAATTTGGCCGGTGGGGATTGGAAGGGTGTAAATAGCCCTACAGTTACATATAATAATAATAATAGTAATAATAACAATAATTAATAAGTAACCAACAAAAGATTAAAAATTAAAGATTAAAGATTAAAACATTAATCTTCGACATTTCTCAAATGAAAATAGGGATGTCCAATTCCATAATGATAATTTTACTATTTATACCCCACACATCTTACTGGGCTGCCCCAGCCACTCTGGGCAGTTTTCAACATATATAAAAACGTAAGGGAACATTTAAAAAAACCTTCCCTATACAGGATTACCTTCAGACGGCTCGGGAGTCGAATGACTCCATACCCTCCCACATTTCTCCAGTGAAAAGTGGGGCATTCCAGGATCAAACCAGAAAACGGGACGGCTTCTCTAAATCAGGGATGTCCCTGGAAAATAGGGATCTAGGAAGGTCTGTAGCTGAGGACTTATCTCTGTAGGAATGAGAGGGCATCAGAAGAGGCTGCTGGATGTGTCCAACGGGGGTTCTTTAGCCCACCTCAGGGGCCAGCCAGGTACCTCTGTGAAGCCCACAGTAAAGCCTGAAGGCAATAGCCCTCCTCACAACATTTCCCCAGAAACTGATAATTCAAGTGTGTACCTGAACTCGCATGTGCACAGCCAGGACTCATGCATGTTCATATACACACTGCTGAGAGGTTTGGGATCTTTTGCTGGAGTTCTAACACGATCTTGTCTAATGAGTATGTGTTAACCCTTAAGAACGTCTCACACCAAAGGAATATAGAAAACTATTTTATTACATGAAATAGAAGTGACACAATATGTATACCTGAAGGAGTGTCCCCACCCACATTGTCCAGCCCCGGACACTGAGGTCCTGCTCCGAGGGCCTCCTGGAGGTTCCCTCCCTGCAGAAGTGAGGTTACAGGGAATCAAGCATAGGGCCTTCTCGGTGGTGGCGCCCGCCCTGTGGAACGCCCTCCCAGCGGATGTCAAGAAAATAAACAACTACATGACTTTTAGAAGACATCTGAAGGCAGCCCTGTTTAGGGAAGTTTTAAATGTTTGATGTCTTACTGTGTCTGGCTGGCTCTTTAGAGCCTATCAACTTCCTTCCCTCCCGCCTCATGGCTTTCAAAATTAACCTTTATATCCTTGCATTTTGTACGTTTTCCAATTCTAATTGCGCTCATTACAAAATGACTCAAATGTTAAATAAATATAGAAAGGTAGAAAAATTCTCATTACAAATCTTCAGACAACCAAACCTGCTAGTGATGTTAATTGTTTACAATAATCTTTCATATATCGTATAAATTTAATCCAGTCCTTTTGGAATACTTGATCGTGCAGGTTTCAGATTTTCTTTTCAGATTCACCAGTTCTGCAAAGTCCACCATCTTCATCTGCCACTCTGCTTTCGTTGGTACTTCTTGTTATCTCCCATTTTGGGGCTAAAAGAATTCTTGGCTATGATGCCTGCACTCTTGATCGGAAGAGGGAAAGCTTCCCTATTTTTAAAAGCCTATAGAAACCCCCGGGATGCTGGTGGCGCTGTAGGTTAAACCACAGAGCCTAGGACTTGCCGATCAGAAGGTCGGCAGTTCGAATCCCCACGACGGGGTGAGCTCCCGTTGCTCGGTCCCTGCTCCTGCCAACCTAGCAGTTCGAAAGCACCTCAAAGTGCAAGTAGATCAATAGGTACGGCTCCGGCGGGAAGGTAAACAGCGTTTCCATGCGCTGCTCTGGTTCGCTAGAAGTGGCTTAGTCATGCTGGCCACGTGACCCGGCAGCTGTACGCTGGCTCCCTCGGCCAGTAAAGGAAGATGAAAAAGCCTGACAATTTGGCCATAAACCCACACTAGCAGTAGGGGCAGGGGAGGAAAATTTACCTGTCTTTAAAGCAAAGCAGAAGTGTGCTGAGTCCTGGAGAGCGCTGGGTTAAGTGCTGTCCTGTTAGAGTCAGAGGAGCTGGGGTCTTGGCTAATGCCTCCTCGTAAGGAAGGGAGGGGCATTGAGATGAGTGATTCCCGTCCCCTGTCACACACACACACCCAGCTCCATCCCATGGCCATCTGAGTGAGAAAAGAACTGAAAACTGGCCTTATCTGCTTGCTTATCACTCTATCTGTGTTTTGCTTAACCAAAGGGAGAAATAGCGAGCAGTTAACTGAACCTGGCTATCTCTTGGCTGTGCCACCATTATCTTGAAGTCATGCATTCTGGAGTTTAAACAGATTTTTGCAAGCAACTGGATTTGACTGTTGACCATTTCAAGGTGTGAAGTTTTTCCTGAGATGAGGCCAGTACCAGGTTCAGGAAGAAGAATCTCATGTCATATTTAAGTTACATCAATCTTATACCCGTGACATGATCTACAGAGATCAACCACATTGTAAGTTCATATTCACACACAGTTGTTCACAGTTAGACTGCCTCTCATACGTGCCAACTCCCTGAGGCCCACTAAATCCCCCATGAAGGGGCCGAGCACCCACAAATTTCAGTGCCAGGGCCATGCACCCCACAGTTTGGGGGCCAAGCTGGCACTCCTTCTGCCTCTCAACCTAGAGTTTCTCCATTAGTTGTTCCTGTCCCTGCCCCACTCACCGTTGAGGTATGGAGGCTCACCCTCAATTCCCAATCAGTCAGACTTTATTCCGTAGCAGGACAGAGTCCACAGAGATAGGGGGAGCATTTCCATTACATGCGTGGCCGAACCTGGCCCTCCAGCTGTTTTTTTAAAGCCCTATACGGCCTAGGACCCTCATACCTACGGGACCGCCTCTCCTGGTATGCCCCACAGAGGAACCTACGGTCTGCAAATAAAAACATTCTGAAGGTCCCAGGCCTCAGAGAGGTTAGGCTGGCCTCAACTAGAGCCAGGGCTTTTTCGGGTGTGGCCCCAATCTGGTGGAACGCTCTGTCACAAGAGACCAGGGCCCTGCGGGACCTCACATCTTTCCGCAGGGCCTGCAAGACAGAGTTGTTCCACCAGGCCTTTGGTCAGGGCCCAGCCTGACTCCGTCCTCTGGCAACCTGCACAGAATTTTGCTCAACGGTTGCCATTAATTTGATTTTAATTAATTTTTATAATGAAATGTTTTTAGAATGTTGGATTATTTGATTGTTTGATTATTTGATTGTTGTTAGCCACCCTGAGCCCGGCTTCGGCTGGGGAGGGTGGGATATAAATAAAATTTATTATTATTATTATTATTATTATTATTATTATTATTATTATTATTATTATTTTGGGACTACAATTCCCATCATCCCTGACCACTGGTCCTGTTAGCTAGGGATGATGGGAGTTGTAGTCCCAAAACAGCTGGAAGGCCAAGTACGGCCATGCCTGCATTAGGACAATAGGCAAATCTATGTCACCTGAGCCGTTCCTCCTCTAACCAAGCACTTTCTGATGCTTCTCCATCTCTCATTAAATCACAGTCCATGAAATACAAATGACTCAACCCATGTTTCAGAACCCTCCTTGCACTTTTCACTTTAATAGTCTGTCTTGCGGTCACGGCACACTCTTGCACGGGTGACGTTGGCCTGACTAACGATGAGCCTAACAGTAATTCCACCTCGCACATTAATGGGAGAGGGTCAGATATGGGAGAGATGGGTCAGTAAAGCCTGCTGGATCAGGCCAGTGTCCCATCTAGTCCAGCGTCCTCGTCTCACAGCGGTCAGTCAGATGCCCTAAATGGGAAAC